TATAATATATAATAGAATAACGCGAACCGCATTGTTCGAAATTCGGAAATTTTAATGCGGTACTACAAGCAACTATTTTAGTTTATAAATGCTATACATGGCTTTTTTTCGTTAAGTTCAACTCTCTGGTAAGACTCTGTTTCAAAAATTTTATATTTTTGTAGTGAAGCCAACCCCGATACGCCTTTGTATGTTTATCATTTAAAAATCTTGAACCGTTTCCGACTTTTTGCAAGTTTGAATAATTGCAAGACAAACTTTTCTGTTACACCGTCCTTTTTCTACAATGTACGTTTTAGCATTCGTTTGCTAGAAATTTAACTTACCTGCCAATAAATCAGCTATACATTTTACATTAGATAAGATGAACGATTTCTACTCTGAACCCTTCTATGAAACCCAACTATCCAACATTTGCTGTCTTCGTACGAAAAAAAAGCATTATACATTTTATTTCATATATTATTTAACACTCAAAATACATCAACGAAAATGATCTACACTGATCAAGATTATACCTAGAATTAACAAGGCTAAATTGTTTTTAAGTAAAAAACAGCTTATTAGTGCACCATTAGTGCACGCTTACTGAGTATCTAATTTCTTCACTCCTTCCTTATGGCGAGCAATAGCTTCTTGATGTCTTTTGATCTGTTCCTCATGGAAAGTTATTTCATCATGTAAGTGAGTCTTCAACTCTTTTAACTGTTCCCTTTGCTAGAATTCAAAAGCCTCTTATTAAGTGATTGCTTAGTTTGAATAATTGGAATTTATTTTGCTTCAATGTTGTTGGCTAATCTGTTCAGCCCTTTCCTATATAAGCAGAATCGTTGTTTGATTTGCTGATGCATTCGAGTCCGGACACACTCGGGGTGATGCTAACCTTTTTGTAAAAAAACTCCTCTTCTTTAGCTGCTTCAGCTTTACCAAATGCACCACCAGCTTTCCTGATGGAACCACCACCACCACCTCCTTTACCGGCACCACTACCTAGGTCACCTAATTGGGACATAAAACGAAGATTCCTAAAAAGAACATTATGTAATAATCCACAGAGGGTTTTAAGCTGGGTAGTGACAAATCAAGATTCACAAGTAATATGTAATGCCTATTCGAAATATCTTACTTCACTGTGTTCAGCGACAAAACTCTCCCATTGCGGATCGAATTCATGTTTTAGAATTGTCGGCCTTTCTGATAGAAAACTCAATTGTAATCACTACAAAAATACTTATGACAAGTCGAATATGGAAAACAGTGATGCCGATGATTGCATCTTATATTTTAGTACAGACAACGTTGAACGAACTTTTATCATATTTGCTCAATTGGGACAGCGAAAATGCTTGAATTCATCAAATTAAGCTGTCGAATCATGGTGAAAGGAGCCAAAGCCCATTAGCTTTTCGTCCTATGGTTTAAAGGCAAACTGATTTTCAGTAAATATTAAATATTTGGCAACCACTTCACCTTGGCGCCCTCTTGCAGTATTTTTACAATATCAAGTCAAACGCATCGAAGGAATAAACGACTTCTAGTCGATAGTTAGTTTTGTTTTTCTAAGATGGTTAAATATTTAGCCGCCTTCTACTCACCTCGTAATTAACCACAAACACTTGAAAATTAAGATATTGATTTTTGAATTTGGTCCTGCCGATTCGCTTGCACCTGCAGACAGTGTTCATTTCATTCATCATTTGAAGATGCTAGCCAAACGGGCGCTAGCGAAACGTTGCTCCAAAATCCTACAGACGACAGCATAATAACAGGAAAGCCATCAGTTTTCATTGATTTTTAGCAATGACTGCGATTGATTGGATTCAGTTCAATTTGTCGGATTTTGGGGAATAAAATGCAGGAAATGAATGTAAAGATTTTATTTCTGTACTATATTCTATTTGCATTTAAGCAACTTTATAATTTGGACCGTAAAAAGTATGGATCTAACAAAAAAATCACTTAGATAAGTCTAGTATAAATAAAGTTAAAATATTTGAATTTATTCTGTAATACTATAAAACTATAATTTTATTGGCTGTGCATGTATAAACTGTGTATAAATTTAAAATTTTCATTAAAAAGATGGAATAATTACTACTAACATACTCCATAAGTCATAAACCAATCTACTATCAGAAGTAATTCATGAGACACTGATAGCACAGCAGACTTCATCTTTACATTTGAGGCGAAAAGAAAAGGTTAAAAAGAATCACATATGTACATTGGAAAATTGAACAATCACCAATTACTTAACTATTTTACTTGTCTAACTGTGCTATATGTGTTCTTTAAATAATAACGAATTACTCTGTTAAAAAGTCCCTACAGAAAAAAGTTTGCCTGATTTGTTACGTGATAAAATTGAATGTGAGAAGCGAGGTGTAGCTTGCCTATGAAAATTCCTACACTAAAGTACAAAAGAGCGACTTATAAAAATCTTATTTTTTCATTATTCTAATCAGGCTTAGGCCAACTACAGCTTCATCATCGACTGATTTTATCAACATAGACCAAAATATCACGGGATTCATTTGACGAATGCCAACAGTTTTAACCGTTAAGAGGAATAATCTTAATATCATATTTTTTCCTTTGTATATAATGTTCCTGATGCCGGATTCAACATGAAAAATGTACCTTTAAAACCTTACTAATCGGTAAATAAGAAGCAACAGCAGTTACATGAAAATGATTATTACACAAAAAAAGAATTTAAGCAACTCCATTCAATTCAATGTGTAATCTAAAATAGATATGTATGTCTCTACCACGTTTTCTAATTATAAGTTTCTTGGAAGACCAACTAGTATAAAAGCCGTACTTTCGCAGCGGCTGCTTAGTAAAATTAGCTGTAACTGCCGCAATATTTCGATCTGTTTTTTTTATAATTACATTCAGTTTTAAATGTGTTTACGAGAACATTATCACTTTTGTTATATTGTCTTTGTGCAGCAATCCAAAAATGAGCCTGTCGAAAAAATCCCCAACCCAAAATAGGGTTGATTTATCTCAAAATTGCTCGTAATTTTAGAACCAATTACATACTTCCTAATAGTAATCTATATGTAAGACACCATTCTGATGAACGCCCGACTTAAAATCTGTTGCTGCCAAAGCTTTTGGGAAAAAATTACTGAAAATTATCATGAGTTAAAGTGATTTTTGGTCAAATTAACATCTTATTTTCACGATACTGTTATTACTTGGTCATTTAGCTATTTGAATTAGCATTCGGCTTCTTTCAGTTGAAGTAGACGGGTAGGGAGATCAAAGAAAAAATTTTTTTTATCTACAAATCTCGCTATAGATGAAAACCATCCTCGGCACTCACGACCTCATTCGATATGGCAAGTCGCATATATTATTCGCTATCTTGTCCATCCCTAAATATAATTTTTAAATATAATACCTTGATTGAGTATTTTAGAGTCCAAATATTTACCCGATATGATGATGAGGTGTGGCCTGAGGTGAAGGAGGAGTAGGTGTTGTACTTGGTCCCGTATCGCTCGAGTTTGAGCCAGCTGAAGACTGATGTTGAGCCGGCCATTGTCCCTGTTCACTTTGCAACCTATTCCCACATAATGTGTTCGGGATGCCTTTGAATTCTCGAAAACAAAATTTAAAACATACCTTTGATGTGCTTGTTGTCTGGCTCGAAACTCTGCAGCTTTCAGCTGCTCCAAGTGGAACTGTTGTCTTTCAGTAATAAGTTGTTGTCTTTGATATTCAAGACCTTCTCGTTCCCTTTCCATTGTTGTTTCGAGTTCTTCAAAGTGACGGAGTTTTATTTCCAATTTTTTCATTTGAGTTTCCACCAACAGCGCGACCAATGATTTGATTTTTCTTTCTTCAACTGCCGCCAAATGTTTGGCTTTAACGGCGGCTGCAGCCAAAGCTGCTGCCGCTGCACTTTGCATCTCGCTGTCTTTCACCTTTACTTCACTGGAAGGATTTTGCATTTCAACGTCTTCTGGGTCCGATTTTACCTAACATATTTCCATATAAGTTACAGACTGATCGGTTTCGGTTGGTTACTTACAATATCAGGTTTTTCTTCCTTGGGCTCACTAGGCGCGTCTTCGTCCTTCTCCTTTTTCGTTTCTTCCTCCTTTTCTGGTGTTGTTCCCGCTATTCCAGTTAAGGCTAAATTAGCGCTGGGGTCGTACTTACCCGAAGCCGAAGACGCTTCAACACTCTTCAAATGAGCATCCATTACAGCCGCTGGAACTAGGATAACATTTTGCGTCAGATAATTTCTTCCTCTTGATAGTCAATAGTTGGTTTATTTATACCTTCGTCTTTAATGCTGGCAAATTCATGCATTGCCGACTTAGCTGCAGCTGCCGCTACTCTGGGATCCACAATGGAAGCTAAGAATGCGACAGTGGACATTATTGGATTTCCTGCTTTGCTGAATGGAATCGGTTGATAAGCTAGAGGGCCTAGAGTACCACCAGCTTCCGGATCTTCCAGATAGGGATCTTCGATCGGCAACCGAAGAAAGTGTAGAATGCATTCATCTTGTGTTCTTGAGCCCACATGTTCGCAAACTTTATTCCAATCATCTTTATACATTTCAAGACCTGGAAAAGCATACTCATTAAGATAATAACTATCTGCTTTTTCCGGAGATTTGCAGTTGTACCTTCAAGTAGAAGCAGAGTTTCTTGTTCTGTCCATTCGCGTGTTAGCGAAGCGGCTGTTTTATTTCTCAAAACAGCCGGTTTTTTCGAATATTGATCCAATTTTAATCCAAAGCTAGCCAAATTTTCTGAGCTCTCGGGCCGCTTAATTTCTTGGAATTTTTCAAGATCCAAGAACGTTTTTGCCGCACTGGGCTGAGGTGTTTTGGGTGGATTTACAGGTTGCAATCCCGAAGGAGTATCAGATAACACATGAAAATGTGATGTCGGTGGTGGGCCCAGTGGGGACGGCCTTGCATCTGAATCAACTTGATAATTAATCAAACCCCATTGCTCCAAAAAGGCATGAACTCTCATTATGGCACAAACATCGCCAGCCAAGTTTCTCCTACAAGCTGTGCTTGTTATGTATTCAGTGGGATTTAATCTGTAGGTATCTATCATCAAATTGCTAAAAAATAGATGCATTTTGAATTCGCGCATTTAACGAAATAAGATGTTAAACTAACCGGTAAGCCAAATAAATTTCCGGTGTTTTCGATTTATTCTTTGCATTAAAGAACTCGGGCATGGCTCGTTTTTCAATTTCATGTATGGAATTGTAATCAAACCACGCTGAGTACGACGGGATGATTATGTGGTGAGTCTGTTCTGTAACGTTGTCTTCTTGGCCGTCATGCTGTGCATTAGTTTCACTAGTTTTTCCCGTTTGAGAATTATCTTCATTTTTCTCTTCTTGTTCATCCAGCTCCATAATCGACCCACCCTTCAATGGTTGTAGTTCATGATCCTTCTTAGCTGCTCCATTAGGAGATGTGGATACCTCTACTATATTAGGTTCGGGAGTCGGATCGTCCATGTCCTTTGTAGCATCTTCGTCGTCTTCCTTACAACTTTTTTTACTCATAGGTGCATTTCTTCCACTTTTCCGTTTTTCCCTTTTCGGTGAAGGTGACCGCTTTCTTTTCCGGTCTTTCTTTTTACTGTTTGTTTCTTCTGACGGGTTCATCAAATCTTCGACTGACATTAGCCTTGGATGCACCTTTTTCTTTCCAGTATCATCTACTTCATAATCTTCTTCAGACATCCATTCGTTATATTGGTCAGTATCAAATATCCAAGAATATGTGATTCTCCAGGGCTCTGAGCGTGGACTTGGACTATCTAGTGACATGTTATCTAGTCCAACTGCCTCTAAATTAACCCATGTATCAAACGAGTCTGGGAAATAGTACCAATGCATTAATACCATTCTATCTCTTTTTAAAACTGGTCTCCCATATTCTTCAACGGACGAATCAGTTGAATTGTAAATAATGTGAGTAGCATTTTCGTCGGTATCTGAAATCTGTCCATTCCTTTTTCTGATTATTTCTTTAATTCTCGGGCAGACTGTTTTGTCAACATTGGGGTCAATATAGATTATAGGGATATTGTACAGCTTATTTTGAATTAACGCCTTCTCCATGGACTGGAACATCTCATATACTTTGTCGACCTTTGATGTATTCTAAAATAGTTAGCAAAACAGGACATTGCTTAAATAAAGCCACAACACCAAAGAAGAACCATGCGCCATGCATACCTTTCCTGTTGGAATTTCAAAACGACGCCAACCATGCTCAGTTTTAAATTTATATGCCGCAGCTAAAATATGACATAAACCGCCTCCGGGTTTGAAATCAAGAAAGTACCTCACCTAAAATTGGGAAACGCGGAATAGAGTATAGAAGGTTTTGGTGTCATTTAACTTTTCTTCAGGAGAAACTGTTTTTTCTCATAGCATTTTAATGGACATATATATGACTACATACGTGATGATACTTACAGGTATTCTAGTCATTGGCGGTTTTTGAGCTTTTTTGCCTAGAAAATCTTCTTGAAATTGCAAAAACTGAATTAAAGTTTGAGATATCGACTTATTTGTTATAGGATCATTATTCATGTACTGAAAAGAAAAGGGTTAATTGGTATCAGCGTTTCTTTTAATGTTATGCTTTCGGTGGGTTAATAATAACTAGACGAGTTTGTAGAAATTACTTAATATAATACAAAGTTAGTGATAGAAGTTGCTTTCTGATTTTCTGTGAAGAAAATCAATCTTCACGCTTTTCACATACGGACACAACGAAGAATAAATCAGTGCAGTATTAGACCTGCCTCTGTTAGCATGCTCTGGCCATTATTCCATGGTAAAAATGCACTGAATTATTGAGCCCCGATGATGGCCTAAATAAAGCCGAAACGTTGGCCCAAGAAAAACAGTGGTTTTTTTCTTCCACTATCTATTGACCGGTTATCTCAAAGACATAAAGCAAAATCTATTACTATTTAAAACTTCAACAATAATATAAAATGAAATATATTAGTAATTAAAATAGCTGATTCAGCTGATTGTGACTTGCCTTCTTTGCATTCTTTTGGAGCCAGTTCTTAACTCCTTCTAAGGCATTAAGAGTCTCCGTACTCTCAAAATATTTTGTATTGGGACCTCCGTCCATTTTCGGTCCTATGGACATCATTTCTGTAGTGTTGTTTATCAAATTTTGTTCACAAATATCACAAACGCATCACGCTTTCATAAACCGGCAACCATTTTGATATTTGATATGTTTCTTGCAGTGTTGTCGATGTGGATGAGTTCACAGGACGCCATAGATTGGTTGGAAGTTTCAACTAATTTCAAATTTAAAACATCTTTAAAATGTTTCAATTGGCGCCGAGTATTTCGTATGTCCAAAAAATGTGTTCACTGCGTCAAAGCATGGTCAAAGCTAATCCGAGCATTCGAGAGCTAATAGGTTCGAAACCGGTTCAACTGCTATTGCTTGGGCGTCACAAGTCAAAAACCTGTAATTCTTCATAGCTTTTTTGAGTAAAAATCCATTTTGATGAGTCTCTAGTTTGAATTCCAGCCGAATTTTTATTCAGTTAAGCCATAACTACTCCAATCCAACCCCAAAACTACCTTGCCGGTGTGGTGGTTGGACGAAGAGGATGCCTAGCAGCACCGCCAAATAAATGAAGAGGAGGCAATGCAAATGCAATCACCAATCAACTGTACGTGATGTATTGATATTGCAATACACGAATGGTTACTGAATACAAGAACTTATGTTTCGATACTTTAGGGGTGACCTAATAAATTACCCTCACGAAACTTGTGTTTTGATAAAGCGGAACGTCCACCCACTAAAAATGGGTTAGTTATATCTACGCACAATGCGGTAACAATTTATACACAATGTCGTATTACTAAAAACTGATAATAGACAAGTAATATTTTATAATGATAGATGATTACTATCAATACCCTGTAATTACCTGCCCCAAAAGTAAGGCAAAACCTGACCGATATACGCACGGCGACGTTTTCTTTTTGGGCAGTTCTTATTTTTATTATTACTGGTACGACTACATATTCTCAGTGGTTCTTCAGTTGTCGCAATTTTATACTCAGTTTAGCATCGACAACGCGCATTGGCACTGGTCTGGTTCTGCTACCATCATCCACTGCCTTCTTGCAAGTCGATATTATTCCCATTTGTGTGTGTTTTGAAATGCGTATGCTTTTTAGCCAATATGTTCGAACGGTAAGTAACTGACGTAAATTTAGTAACTCTTTTCAAATTTTATTTTATTTCTACTATTCATTTACTAGAACTTGGTAGGTTTATACATCGAAAACATATATTACCCATACATACTGCAGCTACTTTTTCTCCTAAAAGCGTCTTTTAGGGGAAGAATGTTTGCATTCGTGCGTACGAATGCGAAAAAATCCTTTTAATAGAAACATTGTTGTTTTATTGATGTGTAATGTGAACCATTAATCAACTGCGATTTAATGGTATACACCATTTACTTCTGTAGTGACTGCTTTACTTCTGTGTAGATGAAACCGGTCTAAAAAGCAATATTTTGAATGCAATACAGTTTCTCTTTTGAAGTTCCGCTGACCAGAGTGCAGTTTTAAACACCGCGAACCATCGCTTGCCCAAAAATGCATTTCCTCGTATCATATAAATTGCCAATTTACACACTATATTGTTGTGTGGAATTTGGCTTGAAATCAATCACTGGTAGAAATATGGTTAAATGCTCGCGCTCTTAAGATTAATTGTAGACGTTGGGGTTTTCCAGGCCAAAAAGATCAATCTATAAGAATACGCTTAGCAGAAATGATGTTATGTTAGTACGGATCATGTACGGGTGCCATTGACCGAATTTGGAAAATTCAAGGAAAGACCTGTAATGCTTAAGTGTGTAACTGGGGCAATATTTTGAAAATACAACCAATGTATCGAGAATCGGGCTTTTGTCGCCAAGCGGCGCTTATATCACGCTTTAATAACCTCGTAAATATATGTAATTTCACTCTTGGTAACGGTATTCAACTTAAAAAGTTGTGCAAAACGCATACGAGCAACTACATGATCACGATGAATTTTTTCAACTGCCGATGCAAATCTTGACCATTTTTTTACTTACCGCAATTGAACTTGAAAGTGAGAAGATTGTTCGAGATTTTCTAAACTTATTAAATGCAAGTTGTAAAAATAATATTATATTCAATCTCTTTAACGAGCCCATTATTCCGATGATTTAATTTAATTTGTGTGATTGATTGGTTAAACTATTGACAATGTAACGGATTTTTACTCCCCCGGCGAAATTTACAATAAGCATTAATCCGGTCAGTCTTGTTTTATTTGTGCCAACATGGAGTGATAGTGATTAAGCGTACATTTTATACGTAGGTTTCAGATTTGGTCTTTTAATAGAACGTGCGTTTTTTGCAACTAAAAGTTAAACAAAGTGCAAAGCGCCCCACTTTGAACATGACTCATGCTGTTCTATCAAACATATTATTCAACCCCATCAGTCTGCCACATCGCAAAGCGTTTTATTGTCGATGTTTTTGCACTAAAGTTTTAATTACCTTTGCAAAAACAACTCATCAGACGCAAAAATCAGAATTGAAAATGTTATCGGCTTCGAATAATCCAGAAGCGAGTATTTCACGGGATGTCCACTCCACGGCCTTCCACGCTCCATTTTTTAAGCTCGCCGTTAAGCACATTTAGTCAGTGCACTTGACTAAATTTCTTTTCATTCGCTAATAAAATCTACGGAACGGCCCTACACGCTCCATTTTTTAAACTCGCCGTTGAGCACATTTAGTCAGTGCACTTGACTAAATTTATTTTCATTCACTAATAAAATCTACGGAACGGCGCTACACAATTTATCCATCTGTAATAGGCATTTGGTTATTACTAAAAGATGCCGTATAGCTAGAGCAGACAGAGAAAACATTATGAACAGCTAACTTTTCTTATAAAACATTGCTAATAAACAAATTATTTCAACAAAATCACAATATTAAACAAAATTGAGGAATTTTAAGTACATTACACCGGTTGAAAAATCTTGCAGTTTGATATTATTATTTTTTTAATAACTTTATTATAATTATACTATTACAATTATAATTAACAATTTAAGGAAAATAGGGATGTACCGACATGACAATGTGAAAGAAGCATCCTTGGCCCCACCCTAATTTAAACAATAACCAACAATAACATAACCTAATAATATCTCCAATTGTTATAATTGTCAGCCGGTGTTATTAGCTGGAAAGTTAAAGGACATAAAACTGTCTTAAATATGCCTCCAAAGAAAAGGCGCAACATTAACTGTGGCAGCGATAATGAGCTGTCTGGAAATGAATCGGAAATATCAAACTCTAGTCATGAAAATACTCAACATCACTATTCTTCTGAGGACGAGCATCCCGAGCATGAAACAGATGATAGCTCGGACATGGATATGGAGGAATGCGAAAACCGTAGGAAGGAGCTGGGCAAAGATATACAAGAGTTGGAGATCCAGTTTAATATTCTCAGGGAGCGTATTTACACCGAGCGAATTGAGCAGGTTAAGAAACAAATAGCTGAGCTTCAAGCTGGAACCTCATCTCAATACGTAACTCAATTAAATCTATTGGAAGAAGAAAAACGTTCTAGAATTGAAGTAGCAGGCGTCTTAAGGGATGTTCGAATGGATACTTTGAAAAATCAGTATGAAGCAGAAATAACAGCTGCTTTGCAAAATTTTGAGAATGACAAAAAGTTGGCACAAGACACTATCTACAATGAGTTAATGAATACTATCAAGCAACTGGAAGAGGATAAGAGAAACAGCGAAATTGCGTGGGGCGAAGGTGGCAAATGGGCTGCAAAGAAAGGTGCTACTCCAAGAGCGAAAAAAGCAGTGACTGTCTCCGGGCCCTACATTGTTTACATGCTAAAGCCTGAAGAAATTATGGAAGACTGGACTACGATAAGGAAGGCATGCCAAAACACGTAATGTTTTTTAGTGAGTATTCAAATGTTTGTTCTTGCTTAAATATGTTATATGTTTTTAATGTTTATTAGCTGCTAATAAGTATTGAGTAGCTTTCAGATGAAGAGATGCATTACGATAATGATTATGATGATTATGATTTATAAGTGTTTTGTTTAACTTTTTACATAATTCAGTTCGGCATGTTTTGTCTTTTTAGGATCTGATTCATTATTAGTATAAGAGACTTTTGACCCTCTGAACACTATTACTATTAGTTAAAGTATTATATTTATTACATATGTGTTAGGAATCATTCCATTATGTTAAGTAGGCATATACGAGAGGTTTCACTATTTATTCTAGTTTGTTAATCAAATGGTGATATTAGCTGTACCTGAGTTTAGAAGTATTTTTAAAACGTTGTCGTTAGTGATAATTCACTCTCAAGAATTTTACCTAGTTTTTTTTCTGATTTTGTTCGAAACTACTTTATAACTTAAAATTTTTTTTAAGTTCAAACCTGCATTGTACTGTATATACAGCGTAAGTTGTATTTAACTATTTGCTGTGCAATATGTACAATGTATGGAAATATGCTGTGCCTTATTAGATTTTAGTGTTATAATATTTTTGTACTGATTTTTGACAATAAAATAAAAAAATATCTAAGTATTTTCATCACGTACAGTATCTAGAAACCTATTTCGGCAACTAGGATATTAATTTGGACTGGAATATTTGACGATATTACAAAGTTTACGGCGAGAGCAACAAATAGTGATTACCGTTCTTAACGATAATGTCGGTTGACCCATAGATTGTTGTGGCTTGTAAATCGTTAAATAGAATAACTTGTGACAAATTGACTGCTTGCTCGTTTTCTCAAGAAAGTAATTTTCTATCTGATCTGTAAGTGATTATTTTTTTAAATATCACAAATGTCTTATTTGAACACGAGTTTCTCTTAATTAATTTGAGTGGCTCATTCTGGAATAGCAATTTCAAAAGAGAAAACTGGCTTAAACGAGGACAACTCATAGTTAGTTTTGCGCGGAATATTACTTTACATTACACCACACCAAGCAAAATCATATTTTGTATAAATATAGTCCATTATGTTTGTCTCACGCTCTATGTTTTTACAGAACGCTTCGTTTTAGTTTGATCATGGTTTTCATTGTAACATCTTTGAGTAATTGCGATGAAACTACCCACCAATACTTAGAGAACGCCGTGCGAAGCCTAAAAAGTCTGAGGCAACTTGAGACTTTAAGTAGAACAGGTACTGCGAAGCAGGCAGCCAGATCTAAAATATATCGCCGAAGCCACCAGGTAGATTTTAGGGGAATTGGAGATTAATTAGTATCTGCATGCGTACAGGAATCAATATTTTTAGTATGTCGATGGTGTCCCGCCTTTAGCGTTGACGAAGGGCGAATTAGCAGCTATGTATGATCAAGCGGTTGCGAAAGGAGAAACGTTAAAATTAGACACTGGAAATCATGATTACGTGCACGCACTAGTGCATCATCTAGATGATGACGGTTCCCCAGAAAAGCCTATGAATGAAGATTACACATCCCCTGGCTCCCATGATTATCCAAGCCAGGATCATGATGCTCATGATTATGGCCATGATACTACGCATCATGACTACAATCATGACACGCCACATCCAGAGTCCACAAAGGAAGATGGAGGATTTTACTATTACTACTATCCAATTAAAAGCTTTTTGGATGAGATCAGTTCGCAACCTACCGAGGAAGATCACAGTGTGCGTATTATAACTACTGTATACACGTTGTATAAACAATACAAATCGATATACATAATATTAATAAAGTTTTACATCCCAGGTCAGTTATCATAAACCATCACATCACCATAAGGAACTCACTACCTACAAACCACCATTCACGTACCATTCACACCATCATCAGGTACTTTTCCAATGGCACATTGAAAAAGTTCTGATATCAAAACATATTTATTTCAGCACAATATTACAATACAAAAAGCTGTCGAGAAAAAAGAGGAGAAACCCATGGAGCATCCTTTAATCATGGCTTTGTCAGGTTTTATAGGCATGGCGGTGATGTTGGTGTTCCAAAAATTTGTTTTACCCAAGTTTGAAGCGAAGCCTAAAGTGAATGGAGCAATTAAAAGAAAAGACGATCTGGATGACTTTGCCAGATTTGCTATGAACGCAATCGATGGAAACTGTGCGGAAAGATTTGCTTGCGAGTTGACGAAAACAGCCAGATCATTTGAGATTGAAGACAACCGATTCTACAAGTAATCAGCTTAGTGTTAATTCCGAAGACCGAAGTATTTTCAACAAATTATTTTAGATTGCTGAAAAGAGTAGCGCCAGGAGCTTTTGGAAGATACATTCAACATTCCAGAAAATACGCAAATAAACAGCTGCAATGCACAGCGATTCCTTGTGCACGGAAAAGACCGAATAACAATCAGAACAAGATTCAGATCAAGAAAGTTGCAAATCCCAACCAAAAAAATAAAAAGAACAATGCTAACAAGAAACTTTAAGAATGAACCAAAGCCATTCTAATTTTATTAAGTGATTATTTATTTATTTATTTATCAGATTATGTATTTATTACTAGTTTAAGGCAATAAAACTGCACAAGTACGTATGATTGTTTTATTATTAGAAATAAAAATGGCAAAGTAACCAATTGTGGAAACGTAAAAATAAATACTCCTTAACTGCAAAAGTCGCATATAAATTACAGTCTTAATTTTGTATTCTATCTAAAATACAATTAATCAACTTATATACACGAAGAACTACATATAAAAATGACAAATACAAATTAATTGAAAGTCCTGGAGTAAAACGGAGCAGCCTTGAGACATTTCTGTTAATTAACCTATTGAATACAACATGCACTTTATTTACCTAATTTTTTGACCAGCCATTAGCGGTGTTACTTTACTACATTACACAGTGCAGGTGCTGTCTATTTTTTTACATCAGGATTTCCAATTTAATATAAAGTGGATGATATAAGCCAAAAAGCGCTATCGATAATCCAAATTTCAGTTGCCCCTTAGTACAGTAGAGCATTGATTTGGAAATAAAATTAATATTTTTAAAGTGGGCGATAACCGAAAATATTTGTCTCCCCCTCAAATAGATGTTAGACGAAATTTTCTTTAACTGAAAATTCAAATACAATACTGAATTGTACTAAATATTCAAATTTACGTCGCAATTCCGAAAGTTTTCTTAATGAACGGGGATGACACCTATTAAGGAACTACATGCATACTTAATTTATAAAGAGAGTGTGTACCTTAAAGTTTTTGCGATATAAGAATGTCTTCCTACCAATATTACTTGTCTTGTAATGATTTCAGTCAAATGTAAAATGTTAAATACTATTTTTCAAACGACGGTCAGAAATAATAAATGGTTCGCATTAAAAATGGTGCGTAAGACTATAATACATTATTGTGCATTAATCGAGTATAACGAAATATCACTAACACTGCTAAAATACGACAACAGTAGTCGGATTACAAGACTTAACCTAATATTAAAAAAAATTCGAAATAAATATATTATACAAAAATACACGAGCACAATTTAAAATAGAACAGTTAATGTGAAATCAAAGTAGTTGAAATGTTGGTACTTTCTCAAAAAATAATATTCAGTTAGTATAAAATACAGACTAGGAAAATTCATCGTGTCAACTGCATAAAATGTCATGACATCACGTTACAGGTACAAGTATTATTTGGAAAATACGTGAAATTAAGCACAACTATTCAACAGTATTTCTAGGCGTTGAAATATACGCACTACAGGATAAAGCTTATCTACCTGATTGACCTGCAATAGATCGAAAGCCCAGAAAAATATCTAATATTAAGTAATTGATCAGAATTCAGCTAAATTTTATACATTTAGTATGTTTTACATCTGGTATATCTGATATGTTAAGACGATATCCTGTAGATGGCACATAGAATGAGCATAAGCTAGAGTTAATGTTGCATGAGATTTGTAATTGCCTTCAGTGTTAGTGAATCATTAATTCTTAAGATAAATTGTCATGGTATTCTACGTTACTACAAATCAAAAAGATTATCGTCTAGTGAACAAACACGTGTAAAAAATAATTAAATTTTGAGCAAAACCTTTGTTCATGTTTGGCGGACAAGAAAACGAGATTACTATGGTTATTACGACTATGAATACAAATTACTAGAAGATCTATATTAGAGTACTTTGGTTTTCAAAACCGTGGTGATGGTTTTTACTGGGAAACTTTTTTCAATTTACAAATTACTAAGAGTACAGAATATATAAAAGTACAGCACATATAAAAATACCCAAACATCATCTGAAACCAATTAGTATGGCTCGTTTTTTTTGGAATGACCTGTTTTACATGGCACAACTACAGTAATTGTTTATAATTCACATAAACCATGAAGTTCTGCATAATTCACTATGGCCCTGTGAAGAAACTCATACTGCGCCTGAAATAAAAACAAAGTGTAATGAAATAAAATACTAGAAGTTCATGAAATTATTTAAGTTGGTGTGGCTACATATACTCACATAGCTGTTTATAAGTGCCTGCCTCTGCGATCTAAGCTTACGAGTAACTGTGAATACGTCTACACGACGTTCTGTTCTTAGCTGCTGTACCAAAATACTCAACCCTATGAACATAGAGCTTCTATCAGACCCCAGGTTACAATGCACAACCATCGAAGGGGAACAGCCTGTCCTTATTATGGCTGTTTGTGAATAATCGACTAATTCAATTAAACCTCTGGTCACCTCAGGTACCTAAAACAGACCACGCTTTTCACAAAAAAGTCTAGAACGTTACCGATTTCAAAATGCGGATTGCCTTGCGAGACGAGTTCAAGAAATGTTGCATTTTTGAAATACTTACCTCTCCATCAACCGTGGGCCATCCGTGGTACTGCAAGTGCGTAACCTTATGCTCCTCAAGATCCCGGCCTTTGACGTAAAACTCCCTCCTAGTGTAGTACGGACAAGTCTCAGCCTGCATGTATCTTACAGTGATATGATCGTAGGTGGCATCGCAACTTTCTTCTGGCCAATATCTCGCACATTTCCCGTCTCCTAGCTCCGAAAGCATCACAATCACGCTGATACCCTGTTCGGAAATCATGCGCCAAAAGTCTGTAATTGTAGCTTCCATAGGATCTTGGCTTATTATGAAAGCCTCACTGTTATCATAGCCTTCAATAAACGAGGCGTTAATGTAAGTAGAATGCTCTCGCCCCGAAAGGGGAGTTAAAATCACTCTGTTCCGATCATACGGAACAACGGCGTCAGATCTATTCTTGTCTCGGTTTTCTTCTCCACTAGCCACCGAACAAGATTTTCTGTCTTCAAAAGCATTTATAATGTTCTCGAATTCCTCTTCCAGTTTGCACTTATTACCATCTTTATCGATTTGACGCAGTTTATCTACTGACACTTTCAAATCATTTGCAGTGATTTCAGTATCCCCATACTGTGTGACTTCCATCACAGCGCGATAGATAAAGATGTATTGTTTCTGAAAGTAAATATTTTTTTAGAGATTTGATGGTTTTCTATGAGAGATTCAATAACTTACCAGAGACTGAACTAGGAAATTTCTTTGGTGACGCAGATCACATATGGTATTAAATATAGATACCTGACTTTCGTCTCTCAGCTGTTGGAGTAAACAGTCGAGAGCAACTAAGGTTCCAGTTCTTCCAACACCCGCGCTGCAGTGAACCAAAATGCAGCCCTTTTCAATTGAATAAGCTTCATTCACTCGTTTTATAAATTTGATAATGCCACTAGGATGTTCAGGAGCCATGAAATCCTTCCATACTAAATAGTGGTACTGCGTCACGCGCCGTTCCTCTGGCTCCTTTCCATTTCCAGACCTTACTATCCTCAGTTCTCGGACTATGTAGTCAGAGAAACGAATCTCTTGAATGTGAGTGACTGTAATTTTGCCAAACACTTTATCTCCGTCAGTCTTATCTGGCCAGTATTTGGCGCATTTAGTCTTGCTGTACTCTTCCAGGTTAGTTAGCATTAGGATCATTTCCAAGTGCTGCTCCCATATCATTCTCCAAAATTCGTTTACTGTGGTGTCCATTGGACCTTGAGCACAAATGAACTTCTTACGTTCTTTATAACCTAATACGAAATTAGCATTAATATAGTCAGATCCAGCAATACTATCAACTTGCGACAGTTTAACTCGCGTTTGGTCGTAGGCTTTAATATCCGGATATCTATTCTTGTATATGTTTTCTTTGCTATCAGAAGCTCTAGTAGTTCGATCTGAGAAACGATCAGGGAGAAGTTCAAATTCTTGTTGAAAACCATAATCAGAGTCCCTGTGATGTTCTACATATGCAGCTACTAATTCAGTCTTGCTTATGGGAGTCATATCGGGGGGATTGAGAGAGACCAGTCGTTGACGACCACGGAGATTTCTAAGAGATGTTCTAAATGTGATCATTTCAACAGCTTGTGCGTGTGCTTGTTTTGTGTACCTGTGCAAAATGCAAAGAACCCCAAGAAGGAATAAAATCACAACCATTAAGCCGCACAGGACTTGAAAAATAAGGCTCAGTGTTTCTGCTCTAGGAGCGGCCAAAACTTCCGGTCCAGGGTTCATCATATCCAAGTAATTACTGTAGGCAGCCAAAATGATCGGATCAGAGTTTCCATGTACTGAAAAACGCGAGAAAACGATCCAATGCTGTAGATTATAAAGTAACGCGATCTGCTTACCGATTATCTCCACAAAACCGGTGTAGTTGCTGTTAATGTCCAAAATGCCGTCATAAGGTGGCAATGGGTCGCTCAGCATTTCATTTCTGCGTACGCGATTTGCCATATCACCAGCTGCCGTTTTATTTTCATGCTTTGTTTTAATTTTGTCTTCTCGTGGAGAATTATATGGTCGCAGGCCAATACACTCATCACAACCGCTATTTGTGGTATTAAATACTTGCTCATCGCCGAGAAATATTTCCGGGTGAAATGTCGTGCTATAAGCAACATGATAAAGAACATTGATTTCGAACGACAAAGGGAGCAAACAGCTACTTACCTGCTAAACATTTCGGCTACGTAGGCACCGCCCTTTGGCGTTCGATGTGCTTCTTGGTAGGACATGATTGTTAGGTCTTCGGGAAGTGGCAGTTCTGAGAGTTTCTGTTGATCCTCCATGCGAACCAAGTAGATTCGGTAGCAGCAAATTGGGCCGTTCCGTTCAGATATTCTTGGCATGAACAACTTGAACATCCATTTGTCTTGTTGCTCTTCGATCTTCTTCCATCGAATGCGCGATAGTTTTTGCTTGTCCGGTAGTGTAGGCGGCATTTGACATGACAAAGTCTTTGATAATCCATTTTTCCGCAGTCGTGTTACTCCAGAAATTTGTACGGTGTAATTGGTGTTGGCAGATACGTTATAGAATCGGGTGGACAGATTAATTTCTCGAATGCTCGCTGCTTTTGGGCCCCAAGTTACGTGATCCAACTCGCCTTGATCGTTAATGAAAGACGCATTTCCTACTAAATTGACGTTGTATGATTGGATACTTCCATGCGGTTGACGAGGAGGTTGCCAGGAAACATGGACGAAATTAGTATGGCTAATGTTATCAAATCGACACTCTATTGAAGCGTTTGATGGAGGACCCGAAATGCCATCCATAGTAGTTCCATTCACAATTTCTGACCATGGCCCACATTCCCGACTATAGTCACTACATGCGGCCACTTGAAAATTGTATATTGTTGCTGAGTTTAGTTCCGAGAACATATAAAGATAGTCTTTTGCTGGCTGAATAGCTTCTAATTTTTCAGATGTGTTGTAGGATCTAAGAATCAGATTATAGTAGTGAATATGATCTCTAAATTTCTCTGGAGGCATACTCCATTTAATCGTGATAGAACTGGAAGTCACGCCGGTAACAGTGACATCTGGAACGAATATCGGTTCTTCATCAAGCATTTTCAGTGCATTGCTCGTGGCGTATTGGCTGTCCCCTTGTGGATTCTTTGCATGAATTCTAACAGTATAAGTGGAGTTGATTTTCTCTACGTTTAGAATTAACGAGTTTTGTGTGTTGTTAATATTCGATCGATAATATACCCACTCGGTATCGTTCTCAGATTTATATTGTACAATGTACTTCAGTTCGTTCGGGCTGTTGCCATCGTTCACAGTCCAATTTAAGAATATTTTGTTTGTTCCAATTGGCTTGATTACATCAATGCTTATCTGGGGCTTGTCTAGCACTAAAATGGCTGTAGAACCATTGGTAGTCGAATTCTCATTACCAGCTGTACACGTGTATGTTCCGTTATCTTTTTTAGTAATTTGTATTCGTAGTACTGAACTAATAGCAGTTTCATTCACCGCAGTTGTATTCCACATGTCAAATGGCAAAGCGTTGGTATCTTTGAACCAAGTGATATAATCGATAGGATATCCTTCAACCAAACATTTCAGATGGACAGTGTTATATATTTTGGTATAGACAGGAGGACTAATTTCTAAAATGCTAACGGGTTTGGTGACATTGAGTTCAATCTCTGACAAATCCAAATCACTCGCGTTCTGATTAGTGGCGTGACATACATATTTCCCAACATGATTGAAATTGATATTTAAAATATGGAGAATGGAAACTTCGAACTTGTTGGCTTCCTTATTTATATTTTCACTTTCCATTTCCAGTTTAAACCTGGAAATAAACGTATGCAGTTTTATTTAAAAAAATACGGGAGAGCTGAATATGCATCTGAGCATATTAAACCGCTGATTGCGTGTGTTTTAACGATTTAATTTCCAGTCGTCCCTTAAGGACTGGTTTGCGAATAGTGACTGACTTGAGACTCTTAACATTTGCATCAACCACTTTCAAAATATTCTGAAATTGGTAAACATTTTTAACTGGTGGGCGAAAAAAATATTCGGGCTGTTTTTAAAACTGTTTTCATAATAATCGTGGGATACTTGGCAACTTTCGCCATAATAAACGAACAAAACACACTTTGTCAAGAGTACCAAATTGTGTGTACTAAAAATATCAGGCTTCCTGTCCTGTGTTATTTTATATGCAAAAGGTATGACAATCAAGGTTAATAGAAATTGGGCAGTGATTCTAACAGATTTGAATAGAATTTAAATTTATCGCTGGTTCATTCTGCAACTTAATACTGTGAAATAATTCCACAGCAAAGGACTTGGGCATTGATTTTTTAGATTGAAAGATTGCTAAATAATTGAAGATTTCCTTTCAATCTTACCCGTCTTGTGCAGATACGGTTTTGTCATTGAAAGTCCACATCATATGGCTGTCCATCCACTTGGTTTTACAAATAATTGTAACATTTTCTCCTAGAGGTAAACGCAAAGGGTTTGCGTGTTTATCCACTTCGATGGTTATGTTGAGCTCTTTGTCCACTTGTGGAAATTCGACTAGGATGGAAGCAAAAAGATATTTCGAAACCATTGAATATTGAAATGATTACTAGGTTTTAACAGCTAATTTATAAAATTATATACTGTGTAAACAAACAGTACTAACATAAATTTGTTGTTGAAATATTTTATTAGCAAAGGTTTTCGGCATAACAGAGACTGGCGCACAATTATATAAGCAATAAAATATTGAGGGATTGAGTGACTTACCTACTGGGTTCCCATACACGAAAGGATAAAGTAGTATACCCATTATTGCGTAGTGGCAAAGGGCTTGGCATAACATTTTGAGTTTGTATTAAGTACTATCCTAACTTGCACAACAGTTATTAGTAAGCACTAACGTTTAAGGACAATTCAAACAAAACAAAGTCATTTCGCCTGTTCTACTAATGTAAATACATTGGACACAACTTTTCAAAAACAAATTGCCGACTACTTTGTTATGGAAGCCATATTTGATACAGTGTATCCAACTTTCGACAAGAAACCTCAATTTTAGAGACTCAAAAAAATTCAATACTCAAAACCAATTTTTCATGCACTTTGCGGGAAATATTTCAACAATTTTGGATGGAAAACGGAATTCAATTTTAACCTTTTGATTCCTCCATGGCAATCAATTGCCTCAAGCGAAAGCGTATATTGATCAATACTTTGAGCCACTAAGGCGGTTGGTGACACTGATTGAAGTAGTAGAAATACCTGGCAGTAGAGGCTCAATGGGACCATAGGAAATCCATAGAGCCATAGAGCATCTAAAAAACTCATTTTTTATATCAAAGCGAGGTTGTCAGTCAGGGCGTAAAAGGATGTGGTTTCAATTTTCTTTTGCGGATTTTTTTAAATTCCGCCAATCTGAGGCGAAGCTCGAGCTTCAAAGGGCGTTTGATCAAAGCGCAAGTTGTTGGTTTGATTAACGCATATTGCGCGACCGTATATCGCCCGAACGATTTGTTTGCTCACAGTCGCCTGTCGTTTGGTTAATAACACATATCATGAGATTAATATTCGACTAAAAACTCGTTAGTTGCGGAAACTTCTGCAATTAACATTAATAAGTAGTGGAACAGGAAAAGTCATGGCAACGTCGCCATTGATATGATGTCAGGCGAAGAATAGATTTGGGGCAATTTTTTCCAATATCGCATCTATTCTACGCATTTTCCATACACTTCTGTTACCATGACCGTGATTGCAGATAATAAAAGCCGTTTTGAAGGCGACGGTTCTCCCCAGAACTCAGACACAGAGTCCTTAGGGTAAGTACGGTACTGACCTTTTGGATTAGTGCAATCTAATATTATGTATGGGTCTCTAGCTTGCATAGTCCAATGGTAAGTGATACAGAGTCCCTACAGGATTCTGTAATAATCCGCCCTCGACCATTTCAAGCCAGGTCATTTAAACCAATTCTGCTAGACGAGTATTCACCATTGAAAAGGTCGTCAGGCAAGCGAAAGTTGCGTCGCTATGAAAATAGTATGTATCTATCTGATGTAACTTTACTGTTTACTTGAGTTCTGATCTTTACTCATATGCGTGTTTTAATGTTGCCCTGTACGTACCTACAATTCCAATTCAAATTCATTCCTGGGTTTCAGTCATTTATTGTCTCTATTGCCTTGGCATGCTTAAAGCAGCAGCAACGCTACACATAAAAACTGATGATGGTGGAAAAATACACCGAAAGTATTTTGATTAATAAATAGAGACAATAAATGACTGAAACCCAGGAATGAATTTGAATTGGAATTGAAACACAGTCAGGAAAGTATATACAACGTACCTACAATTTCCAATTTCAAAAAATCAACTCAATGAAAACCTCGAATAACTTTTCTAATCCGATGGTTTGTAGTATAGCTCCCATTAGATAGAGCATCCAACCAATTTTAATAACACCGCAATTGCGTCGACCTTATAAATCTTCAAACGTTGCTAATAATTGAGAACGCGTTTGTTACGTCCTCCTTCTATTTTCACCGAAGTAGAAGATTCCGCTATGCTCCGTCTATCGAGTTTCATCAGTGGCATTTCTTATTTAAGGACTAATTTTGCAATTTCAAGAAGACCAGCGTGACGAAAAATTAATCGTAATAGTAGATCCGTATAAAAGCCCTTTCGCGCGACTTCTTGAAGATTCCAATGCCATGAGATTTTGGAATGATTTCACTAAAAAGTCCGAAGAGGAGCAAAGTAGCATTATCTGTGCGTTTTCTCAACGCCAGAAACACCCGCTCATAGAAGAGAGCGCTCCGAATAACGTCGACGCTCATGTGGGACGAATTTCCACCAAAGTAAAGAGGTCGATTAAAACGAAAAAAAATTTGTCCATTGAGGCGGTAAGAGATTCTGAGCTGGATTTGCTGGATTTCTTTAAGTCTAAGCCTCAGAATGTTTATGTGAAGTCACCTTCAACATCATTTGATAGATTGTTGCTCAGAGCCATTGCCACCTATCACGGTCTTCAAATACGAAGTAAGTCAGCATTTGGATAAAATTCTATTTAACAGTTCAATTTTTTCCACAACAATCTACTTGACGGTAAAATTGAATTTTCTCAATTCTGTAATTTAGGTGCAGTAGAGTTAGAAGGGAGTTCCAAGCCGCAAATTAAAATCTTCAACGATAGAAAATGTTGGACGCCGGCCAATTGTTTTTTAACAGACTTTATTAAGCAGCTGAAAGGAAACTGAACCTTTTGCCAGCCCCTGCTGCATAATATTCAAATTACAATTTAGTTAATATATTGTCTTAGATGTTTTTTATCACTGAAAACCAATCACAGAAAGGTTTAGTTTATTGAGGTGTGGTTTGTGCAATATAAATTATTATTTTTTTTATGTTCAGTCGCTGTATTTTAGTGTTAAAATGTGATGATTGTGGGGTATTTATAATTTCTTATATGAGAGTAAGCTTAATAGCCAATTTGACATAGTCACTGTATTTTACATTGTGAATAAGATTTTTCTCTATTGAGAATGACGATTGCACGTGCAATAAGCAATTATGTACTATTATGACGAGCACTGCCATTTGTACATATATTTTTACAATGCAGATGTAGTATATAATAAACTTTGGTTGCTTTTTCCACTCCAGTATTTTGCTTTCTTCCAACGTTAAGTCACTAAGCGAATACTCGTTGAAAACACATGTCCAGTGTTCAAATAGGTTTCATCAGCAAGAAAATGACTGAATGACAAAGTAATTAGTATTTTATTGAATTATTACAAATGAAATTTATATTACGAAATATATAATATAAAAATATGTGAAGTCATGTATTTACATTTAACAAATAACATACCTTAAAATTTAGGACAGAAATTCTAAAAAAAGTAAAGCGCTGCTGCTGTAGTCTCAACTTTCATTGCTGTTTGTTGTATTACAATGTAAATGGTTGGGAGCGTCAGCAAACATAACTTTCAGCTTGTAAGCCTCAGCAACTAAAAGGCTAATTTGAGAACTACTCCATGACTGAGTTGGCAGATTTTGTAGCAACAGCAAAAGCCCTTGAAAGTCTCTTTCCCTCATTAAATCCTCTTTCCAGTACAACAGAAAGGCCGCACACACATATAACTGGAATGTTGCGAAACAGTCATTCTCAGCTAAGTATGTATCCCATAAGCGAATTGTACATCGTAATGGCAGCTCTCTAGTAAGCAAATTATTTAACCATCGAAATGAAAACTGCAAGTAACTAACATTGTGTTGCTTCAAATGTTTGTGCAGGGTTTCGTCCACTCGTTTGATCAATTCCTCTAACTGCAAAACCTTCTGTTGTATTCCAATCTGAGCAAAAACGTAATTGTCTTGAATTCCATCCAGAAATTTTGATAAACACCAAAATGAATCCGCTTCAATAATCTTACGGTTTTCTTCAGAAAGAGTATCTACACTAAATGTTTCAAAGGGTTTATTGTCTGAGATAAACTCTTGGAGAAACACCACAAAAAATGGAGTAACTAAGTCGTTAATTCCCTGTACATATCCCGATGCGGGATGTCTACTTGACCAAATAAAGAGTATTCGTTCAAACATATTTTGGACAGTCCTCTGCTGGAACAGTGTTATCGTAGGGTTCATCCTTGGCACATCTATATTTATTTGATGCTGAATATCGCGATTAACTTCATCGTGTTCTGTGTAATAATATTTTTCAACTAACGTCCAATAATCCTGTCGCTTTCTCTCTAACACACCCTCCCGTCGCTCCACGTTTATTGGCAAATAACCCGACAGCAATCTCCAAGTGATGCCGCGTACTTTGACAGGAATCCCAGACCAGCTCAGTTTGCATAACTCTTGAAGAGAAGGCGGATTTACCAAGAGAGCCTCAAATCTTTCCAATTTCGACTCGCTGTCTTCTTCTTGTGGAGGATTGTAACAATGCATTTGCAAAGGTCTTCCAGGAATTCGACTAATTCTCACTATTTCCGCATCTCTGATTATTTGAGGGGCTGTATCACTTAGATTTTCAGTTGAAGATCTGTTGATTTCAGTCGTACTTCGATGAGAATTTAACACATTTAGAGCTGCAGACTGAGAAACTTTTTTTGATATTTTAGTATCTGAAAGGATACATAAAGTACTTAGAAACAACTTTTTAAAATATCTGTGATTATTAACGGCCTTTACTGGAATTTTTTCTATTACGTACTTTTTAATCCAGTACAGAATTCATCATCATCAACTGTCCATGCATCGCTCACTGAAGCTTGGAAGTCTTGAAATGATGTTGAACCTTGAGGTTTGCTCTTGCTGGTACTTCGGCTCTCTCTTTTGGGGCTCGGTCTGAAATAACAGTTTTAATTAAACCACAAGTTCCTTTTTAAACCAAAGAACATCTGCCGTTTCCCGATTATTATGCCATCATTTGTAGGAATTTTGTGCAACGTTTCGCTAGCACGGATGGCCAGCATCTTCAGAGTAATGTTCGCTCAAGTGTTTACACTGGACCACGCAAGCGCATGAAGCAAACACTCCGATCAAAAAGTTAAATATGCGTGGTAGCAAAACATTAGGACCAAAATCCTGCAGGCAACGTCATAATAACTCGAAAATCAGCAGTTTTTCAAACGATGGCCGCGAAAACTTTTACAAATTTACAAGCCAAGAAACGTTGATAACTGTACTGTGAAAAAGGGACACCATTAGGAAGGGGGTAATTTATGTAGAGTTTTATACAAAAACTTTATAATTGATGACAGAAATCTTGAACTCTTGGCTTGATAGCCACATAAGAAGTTCTAATATAATCATACCTGCCAGGTACATTTTTAATATTTTTCTTCCAAAAAGACGTTTTGTCCTGATCCCCGTCCATCCTCAGCTCAATCAAATTACCAGCTTTGAGTATAAACCTTCCATTATTTTAATATAGGCATTTTCCAGCTAGGAACACCAGCAAAACACTTTACAAGTTCACTTCCCTTTATAGGGTTATGTTCAAATCGTCTTCATTCACAAGCTCTGGTTAATGCTTCGTATTAACTGGTATGAGCAATCTGATGCACTAGCGGTACTTTAATGGTTCTTTTCAAATTCAGGGCGGTAGACTTAAAATCGCCTACAATATGACCTTGAAAAAGAGTACTAAATGATCGGTAAAATCGGTAAAATTTTTCAGAGCTTTAAATCAAACGATCTTTATTTAAGGGTGGACTAGACCGCGTAGGAGACAGTCCCGTTCCACATCAATCCACCAAGGTAAACATAAACATTTAATAAGGAACCAAATCTAAGATTTTAAATAGTTCTCTCCCTCTTAACATTCGTATATTCATTATTTAGCGTGTTATTCAATTATTCGTTGGTTGTTAGTATCCGGCTAACACGTCTATGGCATAAAATATTTATGTAGCTTTACTTATTTGGAAGGCTTCTCTCAATTACTTCGAATATTTGCTTTTTTATGATGATATTTATATTATTTATTGCTTTATTGAATACATGAACTTTGCCTTCACGTGCCACGACACGAATCATTATGGCTAAATGGATTATTTGTATATTTACAAAGATTATGCATGCAGATTCAGTTGATATTTAAATGCAAATAACTGCTCTAAAAAATACACTTAAAATATAAAAAAAAAATATATTTCAAATTTATATGTTCTCAATTTAGTATTGGATCTGAAATATTTTCAAAATTTAACTTTAACTTAATATAATCACATCTAGAACATCTATTTCCGAAACCAGCCAAAAACTCATATTTTGCGACGTCTACATGTCGCTTAAACGTTCAATGAAGACACAATGAAATTTTAGCAAACTAAATTCCGGGTTTCTCTAGGGGCTTTATTAAAGCTTTCATAAAGAGAAAAAACTATTCTGAGCTGTATTAAAAAAACGCACCTTTTTCGAGTACGTACCTACGCTTTATACCTAGTGTCCCAAATTGTGTCTCATTACCTCAAAGTCGGGTCCATTCAAGTAAAAGTGGAGAAATCTTCCAAAAGACGCAAGTACCTGCAATGTTTTCGCATCGATCCCGAAAATTCCCAACGCAAAATTAACATTGCGCGGATGACACGGACGTATGTTTACACTAAGTCATATTACGCTCCAGCTAAGATTCGCGTCGATCTTGACCTAGGAAAACTGCAAGGAAATCTCAGGAAAACTGAACAAACTCCTATAACAAAATCTTTAATGGGCTAAAACGTTTCGACTACAAAACTTTCAAACTACCCAAGAACGTCGCTTATTTGATCATGTAAAAGATGCGATCCAAAACTTATATTACCCAAAGAAAGTTATACCTATTCTCTTTTGCGTCTTCCAGTAAATTTCCTATCGCCTCAAAATAAATGTTTTCGTACTAGTTGCTAATATTCCCAGAAAACATGACTCACGGAGGCCGTCATTGTATTTTCATTGGTGCAAGCTCGCTTGTAAAATGCGTACCGATCAGGATTTAGGGGCGGGGTTTAGCAATCGAGCATCCAGTAGTATGCAAAATGCACTAGTTTAAAGTCTAAGAGATAGGGGCTTTCGGCTTCCCCTCAGGCAGAACTTTTCCTCCCTTAGTAAATGCTCCTTGAAACATCTTGTAACCAACTATAGACTCTCTTCTGCTCAGAAATTCCATCCAAGTCGTCCACCGGGTCTTCCAATAGGTGGCGCGCCTACACTCCGGCACTTAAGAATATTTAGTTTTATTTCGCCATTCGAATGTGTTATTTGATAATTTTGCAACGAATGTTTTATATTTTGTTCTGTCTGTCGTACATTGGAAACTTGTGGTCGCCATCTGTGCCATTACATAACAGCCACCCTGTATATAATTTTAAAACGACATTTACTGGTTAATTACTTTTTGTTTAATGATTTTTAACACACTTAGCGGATACTGTGTGGCGAGCGGGTACATATATGTCTTCTAGTCCGGTTTAACGGGTGAAGGTTGATGGTAAAATTCTACATAAAGTGAATCAACTATTGTGCTTTAAGTTCTCCAGGTAAGTAAACAGTTAGTTCTCCAAACAAACTGTTCATACTTGCAATTTATCACGCGCTCCGATACGGCTAAGATCAGTTCATTATGCCAATTAAATTACATAAACAATTACATAAACAATACATATTATTGCACTTGTGCTACCAGCTAGTACATGCTTAATAATCCATGTTCATTTGGGGAAAATTAATAATCGGATGATGCTCGTATATAATAGAAAATCGTATTGGTCAAGGTTTTCAAATTCTGGTTAAATGAGCTATTACTAATTACGAATCATATATAGTGCCCGCCACTAGTAATGATAGTAATAACGAAATGATCATTATTTTGCTGACATAATCAAATGCTATCTTGGACGATACGTTTTGTGTCTGAGTGCAATTTTATCAGTTTCAAGTGATTGAATTCAATTTGGGCCATCGAGACGTTTACTTGACTGGCTAAATAATTAGCACTAATGGGGAACTAGTGGAATAAAATGTATGATATTATTTGAGCATATAAATCACCTGGCAACTAAATGAATTTTCAGTATTTTTTAAACCGCAAAATGTGTTTCTGTTCAATTTTGTGCGATAATGATGAAAATTTCCGCATTTGATGTGAAAGTAACCCAAGTAGAATACCTATGCGCTCTATAAATTACCTGCTATTGCTGGATAGTTGAGGTGCTTAGAAATTCTCACAGTAATAATATGATGTGATTCCCAACTCATTAGTTACTGTTAATTTTACGTAATTGACTGCCAATTAACATCAGGGCAAAATTAATTCAATTGCCGATAATTGATATTAAATAAAATTTCCTTGTTGGTATTTCTAATTGTTAACCCCCACTCGTAATTGCGTGAGCCACCGGAGACTTTTTTAAATTTAAACAGTCACTGTGCTCTTTTCAGTGTTTAACAGTCTGATCATGGATGCACATTTAAAACACTATCTGATCCCAAGAATTTGAAAATTCCTTGATGAAGCAAAAAGTGTTCCAATACATGTAGACGGGTAGGATTAGTTGAATTCGTTTGGGAGAAAGTACCGATCGAGGTTGATATGCCGCTTTCCTTTCATTTATTAAAAGCTGGTAGAGTAGATTGAATTAACATCAATGCAGGACGACTTCGGTCTTTAGTGTGGAAGGCTCGTAGTAAGCATCGACATTCTACTTAACATTAAATTTACATAGTGCTCAGCGCAGTTGATAATTGAAACTTGTATGATAAGGTAGAATAACAGCCGTTTAAAAATGACGTCAACTTGTAAGTGTTTAAAGAGTCGGTGTTGTCTCTTGTTTATGGGGATTTGATGATTTTCAGTGACGGTTCCAGTGAGAGTGGCCGGTATTATGGAGCATCCTGTAGAAGATAATTATGAGTGTGAAAACAACATGGAAGACGATGATTCAGAGGAGGTGAGCATTTCCATTTAAAGCGTATAAATAAATAGGCAAACTGCAATTTCGCTAATAAGTGGGTACCTAGTTGCAGAGAAAGTTTGCAGCAGGAAGCCTCTTATATTCTTAACTCATTAAATTATGGGCGCAAATGTTGGATGGAATACTCTGCAATCTTTAATTTAAAATTATGCATGTTATGTAAATTTTTTTAGTTCAAACGTTTAGCAATTTTATTAGACATGTATTGCCAGTACTTAATTTGCTTAAAAAATTGCACATAATTGGGGTATAATTCCAGACAAACTTGTGCAATTTTGGGGCTTTTAAGTTAATTAATAATCATTAATAAGTAAAAGTCGTTTACCTTAAGCAAGCCAATCTGCCAATCTGTGAGATAAATTGCTCAGTTTGGCAATCTCATTTTTCAAGAGCAAATATTAATATAACGAAACCTTCAATTTTATTAAATGCTGTCGCATGTGGAAACTTTGATTGCAATAACCTTTTTTTTCTCGTTTGGATTTTACGCGAAAAACACAAGTCGCATATTGGTATACATATATCAGGGCCACATGTGATACACGGTCGATCTTGAACTTTGTTTCATTATAACTTGATGGGTTCTGTATAAACGAAAACCGGCAGATGTGGTTCGGGATTACCAGCAGACGAGTATTTAAAATGTTATTAAGATGGCCAATCATCATTAATATTATTCATATGAATATGGATTTTTACAATATAATATTTGGCAACAAAAATATATTTTTTTATCATGGAACCAGTGTCAATATCTAGTTATATAAATGCGTTTTTATGTGCAGATTGATCAGGTTCCCGCTTAGAGGGATCGAAGTAAATCATTTATCGTAGTAATTGATATTGATACGAATTCATTATCATTATATTAAAAATTGACTGGTGTGCTTTTTTCCTAGAAATAACTGATGTTTTTGCCCGGACAGAAATTTTCAAAAAGCCGATGAAAGTTGAACAAACATTTTCGATTTTCGAAACATTTTCTTTGGGTATATTTTGCGTCTTTTAAATTGACGGAATTGTTAACGAGAGCTCTTTTTATCTGTAATTTCTCCTCAACCACTTCGAAAGAATCGAAAGAAGCATGGTATGTGCTGCAAAAATGTCACAAAATATTTGCTAAACTGTTGAACTAATATCAGTTATACAACGCGCTCATTGAACTGTTTTAATCAACTGTCCCAACAGTTTTTCAAATATTCATCAAACCACCTGTGCATTCTTTACGGGTTTGAGCAAATTTTGAGTAAATTTTGAGTAATTGAGCACTTTCATTTACAATAATTTGTTCTATTTCAGTTTGAAGACGCCAATGATTTTACGGTGGAGCTGTATGTAGAACACATCGTTCGTATGTTTCATTTGTCGTATATTTTCATCTTTTAGGGATGTGAAAGACATGACCCTGCACAGGGCGCTAGAGGAAGCTAAGCAGGCAATTTTTTATTTTTTCAACAACCAATTTACCGAAGCCAAACAGCTAATGAGTCCTTAGTGAGTAAACCAAATGGCAACGGTTTGATTTTGTTTATTTTATTGTGCTGTCGAGTACACGCTTTCAATTGAAGCGTGGGCGATAATTGCTTTTTTATTGTTTTATTTTGGCCTGATTTAAGATTCGATATTGTATATTTAAATTACGGTTTTGTTGACTTGTTCAAGCTGTATAAATCAATTATGTATATTTATTGCTATGAAAACAATAGAAATATTCTGGTTTTAGTGCAACCGTCTCTGTGTACCACGCGTTAGGGCACGCAATTTTTTTATTTTTGGAGGCAATTTTAACAGTCGAACCAGCTGCCATCAGGTCTGCTTCTAAAGCCCTAAAAGACGCACTGGTGGTATGTAACCGATTTAGAAAGAAAAACACCATTGGGGAATCTATTGGCAAGATGGTGAAAAAAAATCGCTATGAACAGTATACTGAAATGGAGGCTCATGCCGAATTATGTCACGCTGAATGTCTGCTTTTGAAATCAATGCTTACTTTTATGGAGGATGAAACATTGAGTAGTTTTATCAAAGCTGGGATCAAGATTAGGTCTTGCTTCAACTCATACAAGTAAATACCGCTTTTTAGATCTTGAGGGTATTGAACGCCAATCCATTAAAGATACCATATATGTTTTTAAATCATTAATAATAGGCATAATTTTTCCGTCTGTACATCTGCAGTATTAAAGACATTAATTTCACGTCGTTAATGAGTTATTAAAATTAATGATCAGGTCGTTAGATATAAACTGGGTAACAAAGTTCAATCATTCATAGAGAGTGCCAGCAAATACTGTTCAAGAGGCAATGGGAAAATGAAGAGACCAAATTGCATTTTGAAAGTGGTGTGAAGATGGGCATTGGAACTTTTAATCTGATGATATCTCTGCTTCCTTCAAGAATCATTAAATTGCTAGAATTTATCGGCTTTTCTGGCCACAAGGTAAATTAGCCAATTTCTGATAAAACAATCATCAATTGAATCCTCCTAGGATCAAGGGCTCAGCGAGCTGATTGAGGGATATCAGCTAAACGGAATCCGGCAAATCCTATGCATAATGACGCTTTTGGGCTATAACTTAATAGTAATGCATGTGTTGAGTCATAGAGATGGAGATACCGTTATTTGCCAAGAAATGCTGAATAAGCAACTCAAAAAGCATCCAGATGGGGTCTGGTTTCTCTTTTTCCAGGGAAGGTTGGAGTTTATGAAAGGAAATCTAAATGAGAGCATTAAATACTACACTAGGTCGTGGAAATCTCAAGACCTCTGGCCTCAGTTTCACCACGTGTGTTTTTGGGAACTTTTATGGGTTCACTGGTAAGCGTTACCGATGTTTCCATTAAAATGTGATCCAATGTTTTTTCTAGTTTAAAATGTGAGTGGAGGGAAGCACTGAAGTACAGTACAATTTTAAGTGAAAAGAGCAAATGGTCTAAATGTTTGTATATGTACCAAAAGGCGGTTATTATGATTATGATGAAAGACGATCTCACGTTCGAAGAGCAACTAGAGCGGGACAATCTCATGAGGGATGTGCCCAAATACAAGCAAAGAATAGCCGGCAAATCGCTGCCCATGGAGAAATTTGCCATAAAAAAATCTGAGCGGTACTTCAGCCAAAAAAAGTTACTGATTTTACCAGTTTTGGAACTGATGTTTATGTGGAATCTACTAAAAATAATGAAGAACTTTAGCATAGCTGGAGACATTATAACTTTAATTGAAGCAGCTGAAACGGAAGTTGACTCGAACTTAAAGCCATCCAAGTACGATCACGACAATAAATGCTTAGTGTATCTACTCAAAGGGGCTTGCCTAAGGCACATGGGCGCTCCTCACCAAGCAATACACTACTTTGAAAAAGTTATCGGTTTCCAAAAGGAGATAGTGGAAGATCACTATTTAGTGCCTTATGCAATCGTTGAATTGGCCTTAGTTGAATGGGAGCAAGGCCATAAGGAGAAGGCGTATCTTGCATTAGAGGATGCGAAGTAAGTTTGTAGGGTTGATTTAGGCAGCAATTTTGTAAATGTGTGTGTTGTTTGTTATCTCCAGGAAAAACTACACAAGCTACTCTTGTGAATCCCGGTTGCATTTCAGAATACATACCGCATTGTCGGAGCTTAAAGTTGAACTGAAGAAAACCAAACATTGAATAACTAAGTTCTGGATTGTTATATTATATATATAAATATATACATAGTCTTAATGTGTACCTAAAGTGTAGTTCGTTCCTAGTCAATTTGTATGGTGTTGAAAAAAACTGGTTGTTACGAATGTGCTTTTAAGCTCGTCCCAAGTTTCTTTCCTAACTCTTCCCTGGCACTGTTGGGTCACTTTCTTGCCTTTGTTAAAATAATATTTATTTGCCCTAGTACAAAATGCCGCTATTGAAGATTGATTGGAATCATTTGCATTTGGAATTACCTATTTACGTTGTTAATGTTCTCCAAATGCAATTTTTTTCTTGAATATCTTGTTATAAAGGTTCTTTTTTAACGTAATTTAGTCTACCTTCTCTTACTTGTTTTATGCACTAGTTTTTTCATATATATGGCTGTGCTGTTATGCAGTGTTTAATTAGGTCTAGCTGTTAATTGGAATTGTAATAAATATTGAACTTGTTTTATTGATTTTGCTAATAATAGATGCTATAAAAAGCAGCAGTTTGTATATCATTTTCACAAAAAAAATTGTTTATACAGGAATATTTCACTGATAATGCTCAAAGTTAAAGCTACGTTGAATCGGGGTTGTTATCGCATCCAACTGTAGAAGGCTGGGTGTTCTTGATTTCATCATACACCAGTTCATCTTTTTCATTTGGAATTAGCTGCTCTCTTTCCTGGAAAGCTAAGCTTTGACTTCTAATCGGAATTTTAGGGGCGCTGTTGTTTAATTCAGAATTCACCTGTTAAATAACATGGGTTAGCAAAAAACATCTCGGATCGTTGATCTGTCTATAAATCTTAAGTGTATGAGTGACAAGAGAATAAATATTGACCCAGTAAAGTCAAATATAAAACAATGCACTCATAAATCAGATCTGTGGGAATTTATTCAGAATGATGTCCTATTTAATTAGTAAACTAAATTAATCATCATTTACTGCTTACTTTTCCGTTGCTCTCAGTTTTTTTGTTAAGTTTGGCACTGCTTTTGCTATGGTTGACTTCAATGGCAGATTTCAACAGGTCATTTTTGGAGGTTTTAGCATTTTTAGAAGCCGCTCCAGAGTAGCTGCCTCTTCGAATGCTGTTGCTTCTGGTTCGCACCAAATGGTTTCTGCCCAATGATGTCAAAGACCCAATCTGGTTATACTCCACCATTATACTCAACCTCTCGATGCTCACCATTGTGCCCTGATCTTTAAACTTCGGTTCGGTGTTTGTCAGTTTCTTCGATGCAGGATCGTCAACTAAAATATTTAAATCAATCCTTTCCAATCACATGTTTAACCACCTACTTATTTCTTCGTCTAATTTGATTGGTTGCTTGTTCAGCCAGCATCTATTGGCTATAGTGTAAATAACTCCAGAGGTGGCAGCGACTACACCCATTATTTGGAAGGCTTCTCGAATGCCAAATTTGCTAATAATGTGTCCGCCTATGAACGCCCCGGAACCTTTTCCGATGCTATAATGAGCCATGCCAACTACTCCTATTAGCGTGGCAAGCAAATTGCTAGGAGCTAAAATTGCGCAATAGGTAGCTGCTGCCACCCACATCAAGTGAACTGAGAGAGATTCCAGAGCTTCGAAAGGAAAACACCACCAAGCGCTCCTTGAAAGTTCATCATTGAAAGTGATTATTTAAAAATGTTTCAACACGAATGTGGAAAAGGGGTACTTACTCAATGAATGAGTAGCCCATCAATCGGGCTGCGTGAGCAAAAAACGCTAAAATGATAATATTCACATGCCCGATTTTGTTTGCTATACTATCGGCTCCGTACAAAAACGGCAAACTGCTTATAGTTCCAACCGTCACCGTGATGCCTAAAAGTGAGTTTGGAGCTCCAAGATCCCGTAGATAGAAAAACAAGTAGCTTTCTATAAATCCCCATAAGTTCCCAAGAACATAAAGAAAAATTACAAAAGCCACAACTTTGGGAATTTTGAAAATGTTCACAAGATCCTTGAAAACGTTGTCTGAGGGCAGCTTGGTTTCCAACGGCATCATGGAAGCTGCTCCCGCTGAAATTATTAACAGGATATCAAAGGCGTAGAAAGCAGCTGAATAGTCGGTGTGGCCGTTTTTTTTGCTTGTCATGTCTATCAGCCATCCGATTAATGGAGAGAATATCGCCATTCCTAAGCTGGAAAACAGGCGTTCTTTTCCAAAGTCTCCTCCATGTTTTTCAATTAACGCCAAAGCTATCGGGTCCATAATAGTCACTCCGGCAGTTAACATCACAGTGGCAGTGAATCGCACAAAGAAATATAACCACTTTGTATTGTTATCACTTTCCTTATAATCTGGCGGGCAGACGTTCGGCCCGTTTGTACGAAATTGGCACTTTTGCAAAATGCAGTCCTTAGACATAACGTTTAATCGTTGTTTAGTGACCAAATTGGCCCCATAGACGATTCCACCACAGCGTAGATCTAAATCATCTAGTTCTTGTGTTTGCACTCCATATCGCTGCAACATTTTATGATTGAACCGTTTAGAGAGTTCCATAACGTTTTCATTGTCCTCCTCCTGTTCCAACTCGAAACCAAACGACTCAATCGGTTCACCCAGGTTAGGATGCATATCCAACGTTATCAATAAGCTATAATGATTGCTAAAATCGAAATTACGCGAATAGTTTACTATTAGTATCCTTTAGCGATTAGCATTGGACCAATAGCAAAATGTCCAAAAGTGAATCGCTGTAGCGACGAAACTCACGTTTTGGTGTTGTTTTTGGCCAAATGGAAAACCAAATTGTCGCCTTCGCCTGGGTCTATTCCAATGTCCGATCCGTTTCCAGAAACGATCAAAAGTGGGTTTTGCTGCTGTTGTTTCTTCAGCAAGCAATGATCAATACACATATCGAGCACAACATCGATTTCTTCCGCTTCTGGACATTCTCTGGATGGACATGGACTCCACCAGACCTCCACGTACATTTTCTTCGGATGAGTAATTACGTATCCTGGCGGTTGCACTCCAGGCAATTCCTGTCCAGGGATGAATAGTAGCACGTGATGGAGCACCGCGGTCAGTAAAAACGATACTATAACGACGGGTTTGTAACGTCCAAATTTATCAACCAAAAACCCGGTTAATGGAGGTGCGAGGAAAGTGGTTAGAGGCAAAGCCAGATAAACTATGGAGATATCTTCCATTTTTAAACCGATGTTTTGCATGTGGATTGTAAGGTACGGCACTAATGACGATGTTGCTGGAACAAATAATTACTTCTCTCAAAAATTGATTTTTTTCTGGGAGTTTTGCTGTAGGCTGAAGCCGCACGTACCTCCATAGAGAAAAAACAAAGTCACTTTTAACATAATCAAGTTCTTGTTGATTCCAAACCATCGAATTGGCTGCACAATTGGCTTCTCGTCCGTGTAAGTTTCCGCGCTTGCTTGTTCTGGGTCGTCTCCCATTTTTGCGCCGTTATTCGCTTAATGTAAAAGAAACACTGATTATTTTTGATTTGAGTTCAAACTTAAAAGTTGCACAAAATGCCTCTGCTTGTAAAATATTGATAACGTCATGCACGTGTTTATTTAGGGATGTTCCTGTCGCGCTACCAGATTGGTATAAATAGTGTTTTGTCTTTAAACTGTTTGCTCACTGCGAAAATGGACCACTATTTCCAAAGCAGCACTTTAATAAATTATTAAAGTTTATTAAAGTGCATATATTTGCTTGATCTGATTTCAATCAGATTGATTTCTAATATCTCATGACGATTAATATGTTGTTTTCAGCTCTCACTTCTGACTCGTGTTCGATTTTCTTTTGGAAAAACAGATTTTTGCATGTGGAATTTTTCTACGCGACAGTTACTATCGGGCCGATTTGAAAATTGTGGAAAAACGAACGATTATCTATAAGAACTGCATCTCGGAAAATTGCAATCGGTTAAGGTCGAAACGACGATTTTCCCAACAAAATACTTTAAATTTTATTCTAGACGCATTCACTGTCCATAAGAAAATTTCTATTTGCAACAGTGTTTAAGGAAATGGACTTGAATTATTGAACATTTTTATTTTTTCAAAAAATCGACCCCTACCATTGGAAAATTGTCGATCAAAAATCAAAATTTTACATACGGGTTTTTTGAGTTCAATCGATTCTTTTCGACCCAAGAAGGTCACATATATGCATTGRTAAAGTGTTTGGGTCAATAATAAGGAAGAAATCGTCGGCTAAAGATCCTAAACGCTTGAAAGCGCCTAAAATGTGCCGAAAATGTCTATTATTTCGGATCTGAAACTTCAACCATGTTTTTCAATTAGTTCGATGCATTCCTCGCGACCGTGAGCTGAAAATGATGTAAAATTTGAGCCATTTTGAGAACATTTTTATTTTTCGAAAAAATCGACCCCTACCCTTGGAAAATTTTCGATCAAAAATCAAAATTTTACATGCAGGTTTTTTGAGCTCAATTGATTCCTTTCGACGCAAGAAGGTCACATATATGCATTGATAAAGTGTTTGGGTCAATAATAAGGAAGAAATCGTCGGCTAAAGATGCTGAACGCTCAAAAACGCCTAAAATGTGCCGAAAATGTCTATTATTTCGGATCTGAAACTTCAACCATGTTTTTCAATGAGTTCGATGCATTCCTCGCGTCCGTGAGGTGAAAATGATGTAAAATTTAAGACATTTTGAGAACATTTTTATTTTTTCCAAAAATCGACACCCACCAAATTTTACACGACACCCCCCCAGTAAATTTTCGATCAAAAATCAAAATTTTGCATGCGAGTTTTTTGAGCTCAATCGATTCCTTTCGACGCAAGAAGGTTACAAATATGAATTGATAAAGTGTTTGGGTCAATAATAAGGAATAAATCGTCGGCTAAAAACTTTTCAATTTCAATTGGAATTTTTAAGCGTTTTCAAGAATTTTGTTCGGAAAATGGACCTCACCGTAATTACAAAATGCAATTAAAACAAAATCGTTACAAATGAAAACATGCCGTAATAAATCTAGGCAGATATTCTGCGCTCATCATTAGCATCACATATTCAGATCTGGTGCCGGTTACTTGCTAATACAATTTGGAGGTGGTTTATTTAAATAATATTCATTTGTGCAAACGTACAAACATGATAAATCAATGCTGCAGGAGATTGTGATGATACATGTATGTTGAAGTTTATAGAATTCTGGAGGCACAAAGCTTCTGTCATCTCTATGGAACCATATTAAGTCATACATTTGGGGAGATTTATGGATGGGATTAGAATTGATGACGCAAATTTATGTGCTATGACAATAACTGAAAAATTTGTTATGAGTATAATACACCTGTATATAATTCATGTATTGCCTTTTTATTTCACATATTTTTATCAAATATTTAAAAAATCATACTGGAATTTTAATTATGCGATACGGAGTGTCTGGAACTATAATAAGATAATGGCATTCTGATTAACTCCTTGCGACCAATAGGGTAAAAGAAACGGAGACGTTAAATTAAATGAATGAAAATTGCAAATACAGCGCTTTTTGAAAATTGATGCATATTCAACCAGTAATCAAATCAGTTGTTATTTGCATTTCAGTTCGGTAAGTTTGCCAGTGCTACATGAGAGTTTTTTTTTGAGTTTCCATGATGATGAGTTTGAAAGCCGTAAGAATTTACATTTTTATGGAGATATTAGAGTAGTTATCTTTTTAAACTATTAGCTGAACTTTCAAATATTGTTTGGTAGCTTTAATTGGAGGCAGGGTAATTAAAAATGTTAAATGGCAACTTGCACAAGGAAGAACATTCTGCTCCAAATAATTATGAAATGCACAAGTAAAGCGCATTGATAAGTCCATGCACATTTACACGAGCTTGGCAAATACATCAAGTATATTGCTTTGGGCAAGTGTTATAAAACTATTTGAAACTAGAGGAATCGCCGTGTGAATATTTACAAATAAATGATGATCAACATTTAAAAGAACATTTCACAGCTGGCAGCAAATTATACCTATGCAGTATGTATAGCATTCCTAATAAAAGTTAAGCGTTTTTAAGCTACTATCGATAACCGGGCGGCATATTTGCTTTGATAAACTTTTATAAATTACGGATTCTTGGAAAATGCCTCCAGCGGAAGTCAGTTTCTGGGAATTGTTTTATCAATTTCCGAATTTGAATAGAAAAGTTCGACTAGGTGACAACCTGATGAAGCTTTTATACACCTACTTCTAATAACGTTCAAAAATCAACCTAAAGAGCCAGACGAAGTCAGTAAATGATTTTCTTGCGCCGGGGCTTAGAAATTTAGAAAAATCAATATCAGAAACGAATAATGTGGCTCCTTGAATAATCGGGGGTGAAAATAGGCTTGATATTCCTAGTTGATTAGTTAGCCATCATCGAATCACGACAAATGCAGTTGATAGAGCCTCTCTCCTAACTTAGTTGTGGGGTCGACTTAAGGGTTACGCAATACAGGTAATAATAGAGCGCAAGTCTGGAAGGAAATCCTGGATAGGGAAACGTCATACTCTAACCATATACAAATTCGCGTACCGCGATTCCACAATGCCGATCGTTTCGTAAATCACCAAAATGCCCTTGTTCGATTCAGTTCGCTTAAAATGATTTTAATTTCACTCAAACACATCCGATATTCAGCAGTTTTTGTTAAGTGGCGCTAATTATTTTTTCGAAAACAATGACAAGCTTAGCAGCAAAAAATAAAAAAGGGACTGTGATACATCGGACAACAAGTGAAACCTTAAGGCTAGGGGACGAGATTATAAATACCCAAGTGCGAATAACAACGAGGAAAAAATCTCAGGCCACATCACCTAGCTGTTCCTTTCAAATTACTGGGGTAATGACGAGGTATGACCAGGAGGACGAATCAGCTGATGATTTAGATGAAAGTCATACGGATGAAATTTCGCGGGTAACCGATAATGAAACGCCCAGCTTTTCTGAAGATTCACGAGACGAACAACCTCTGCCACAAACTCCTTCGGTGCAAATTTTTAGCCAGAATAAAACGATATTAGCTAGGCATACTCCTCCTGTTGAAGACCCACCACTACCACCACCACCTCCGGCTATTAAAGAAGAACAGACCAAACCGAAGGCAAATATAAATGATTTAGGCAGATTTAGAGTAGTCAAATTGGGAAGCATGGTACCATTTAGTAGAGGCCGATGGACGTGTTATGATTATGTTGATGAGTCTTCCGAAGCAAAATCGCCATTTCCTTCTGTCTGCCATTCTGCATCTAAGAAACCTTTTTGGGAATCAAGCTGCCAACCTAATTACTTATATACAGGGACTTTAATATTACCCGAACCTATTCCGATTTATGTCCCATTGACAAATGAGAAGCCGATTTCTTCTCAATACAGCCTGCCAAAAACCAGCGACGGCTTTCCCAGTTGCCAGAGTGCTGATACTGATATTAATAATTCTGGTTTAGACACCAATCAGAATAATCAAGTAAGTTCCACTGAGTTCTTGTAATTTGCGGTTTTTGAGTCCTTGTGCATGGTTTTCATTTGATATTAATATATACATTTTAATCAGTTTTTGGACTACCTACCAATTGTTTAAACTCACCCAGTGTCTCATTCATTTTTGGCTCACAAATGAGGCACTTTTTGCGCGAAAACAGTTCGGCATTTTTGATTGGATTCCAGTTGCTATGTTGCAGTATTATTATAAAACGTTTAAGAATAAAGTGCGATTAATTTGTAAATAAATCGCACAATTTACCGGCAAATGGGAAATATTTGATTTATATTCGGATCAATTTTCTTTTTCAGAGCCTTACCAATAATTTTAATGCTTTAGTTCCTCTCAATAAGGATGTGCTGTTGGTGAAAGCTGACAAAGGGGATGGTTTGAATTTCAACGGAAATACTGGGTAAATATTTTATTTTAATTTACTATGATTTAGTGTGTAGCCAGATTAAAAGCAAGCGAAAGTTCCGTTGGCATTGCGGCGTCGTTTTGTGTGTAAACACTTTTTGCATAAACTCTAATATTCTCCAAAGCGTGCCAAAAAATCCAGACCATAATAGGCCTTTGGAGTCGTAATTCTGGAGGAACAAATCAATAGGGAATACGCAGCCGCTAAACTTGGTTAACGCTATTGCCAATTTGCAAAATCTGAAAATGTGCACAAAACACCCGCTTTATTGTTTGGATAAATTAAGAAAGTGTCATAATTAAGCGTGAGCTAAGTAGGATTTTTGCCATAATCTAGCTGCTTCAAACGAATTGATTGATATAAAAGTGTTATTAGGAACAGGCGTTGACTGTACAGGGAATGACTGGGTAGCGATTTTGCTTTAAATAATTTTGGGCGATTTAAACCGGCCAGAACACACCAGATATGGGGCTAATAAATACATTTTTTCCTATGCGAGTGATCGGTTTTAAAGCCTTACACAAAAATACCTCTGACTGAGTGCAACTTAGTTGCTTGAAATGAGCCTGCAGTCATTCCAGGATATTTCCCACTGGTGATGGCAACATTGCATTTCCACGGGGGTTGGAAATCGGTTTACACTTTCCCTTATTCCGCGGAACGTCTCGTAATGGAAATTTAGCCCAGGCAATGGCTTCGAGCCATCAAATCCCGCTAGACAACGCTAAACCAACGATAGTGCAGGATACTGATCCAAGAAGAACTGGCAAAGTCGATTTGCCTTTAGGGATAAAGGATTTGGACTTCAACGAAGCTACGTTCTTTGCGGTCTATTGTTTTATAAGAAATTTCGTCGGGTAAGCGAGTTTTTCAAAGATTTTCCTCAATTTGCTGCGATGTTTTGATGTAATTGTTCAGAATTGAACTGGTCAATACCCTCCAGACTTTTTAGATACAAACAACTCTGTAGTTACCACTAATCACTCACTAGTGCAGTAGACATTCATTTTTTACTATACAGTTTTTCGGTACTTGCAACTTTGTGAATGAACTTTTGGCTAATGATTTAGATAACCTTCATCAGTTTCCCGTTTTGAGGTTGGCTAATCCATAGATATGTCGGAGGTGTAAAGGACATTTTAACATACTTCACTTTGAATTGATCGTATTTTCTAATCGTTGTTTTTGTTTCAGAGCTTCGGTCTCTTGTACTGCCACAATCGATACCAAGATCGAGCATGCATTGGTAAGTGCAATTTTATTTACATGTTTGCTGTTTTGTTGCATTTCGATAGTTGGCATTACACTGTTAAAGGGCCCATTTGTGTAAAATGTTTATGAATCGCACATCATATTTAATTAGATATCATACTGTTGCCCCACATATTCCGTAATCTTGCATAATGTAATTACGGTAATGTACAGTACAGTTCTCCGAAACTTGAATTTACATAGCGCCAACATGCAATCCAGCATGCCAAGATATTATGTTGCAGTAGGAATTAATGCGCGAAAATTATTGAATGCATGATATATATGGTATTTTTTACCTCCACTTATTAAAAATATACCGCGATTTTCGGACAAGAACTAAAATTGCAACTTGTGTAGTTTTCGATTGAACATTGGCAGTGGCATGGTATAGTTTAGAGTGGCTTATAAATCAGCATAATGCCTGGCATATCTTGTAAATGAGATCTTAGGTATGCTAAACACCCAATAAAGATTACATTTACATTACATGGCATGCCAGTGCGATTAAGATACCATGCATGTAATTAACACTATAAATCATCAATATTTTTAATATTGAGACAAATGAAAGAACGATAATCTCATCTTACAGGACGTGGTGAAGAATCATTTAACTCATGCAGTTCGTGTGGAAGTTGAGGAGCTCAAAGTAAAAATAAACGAACTCGTTGAACGCATATCTTTCTTGGAATATGAGAATGATCTTCTCAGATCCAATGTAACCGATGAGGTACTTGCGAACCTTGGAAACATCAGGGGAAACTAATGCGATACTCTCAACACAATAATTTCATCACTTAAGTTTACTGTAATCTTAACAATTGTTTCTCGCTTAAATAATTATAATAAGTGGTTGAGGTCTTTAAATGCTTGGTGCTAACAAATAAGATGTGATGTAGTTACGAGGTGGAAGGAAGTGGAGAATGTTGAGTGATTTCTATGCATATTATGTTAAACTCAAATACCTTGACATGAGAGGGGGGTTTTTTTCGTTTAAATTCAAACAATCCAAGTGATTTTTTGCTTGATTTTTCCTGTTGGGAAATTAAGCTTTGCCGCAAAATCTTTATACCCTTCATTGTTCAACGTAATTTATAAATAAAAACCGAACAAAATTGCTGATCTAACCACCAACATTGTGATTAACGATTCTAAAATTGTCTACAAAAAGCTCAATTTTAAATGGCAAACAACAATTGCGAAAAATGTAGAGGGGATACTCAGGTTTACCGTTGATGCCTATACTAGCAATAAAATTATTTTTAAATCACAAAGTAACTAATGGATTCGCTAACAATTGGAGCTTAGATAAGTCTTCGAAATAAGTAACAATAAACAGTTCAGTATTAAACAAACATGAGTTTTTTGTAAATGTGAAAACACTGCAAATCTCCCTCTTATAACATGACACATTTTCTTAATTTTTTTGCGTAGGAGATGACAAATTAAAATTGATGGCTGTGCTGTTAGCAAACAATAGGTGCAGTGAAAGTAGTGCGCACTACTTTCCCAAAACCGCAGTTTCCAAAATTGAATAAGCATGACAACACACATCACTAAAATTGCGTTATTATTTTATCCATGTTTTTAAAATGTAGATATATATAATAAGATCTCTGCTGTCTCTGATCGTTATTTTTTTTACAATCCTGATTCCACTTTCTGAAGATGAAAAACAAATTTGTAAGCATATCTCGCGAATGTAAATGTGGATTAATTCCTACCCAGAATTACATTTGGTTGATTGATTACAGGACGATGTTCAGCACATATTTATATTAAACTGGTCTATCAGGGGCCAACGAATCAGTTGTAAATGTTGCAATTCTTCCTGGTAGCAAAGGATGTCCTAAAATGAACTCACGCACTATAGAAAGGTATTCATCTTCATCTTCAGATAGTTCAATGGGCAATAAGTCCACCCTTTTACATATAACGTAAATCAGTTATGTTTGTTGTCGTTCTGTTTAACTAAACCAGTATTAATCATCCTCAATGCAAATCCTGTACGTGTATTACGCTTATATTTATGTGGTAATACTCGAGCTGAATGATCGAATTTAATTGTTTCTAATTTAGTATTCAATGTTTTTATTATTGTAAACATGTGTATTTTATAGGTAGGTTTTTGCGAATAAGCAAAAGGGACTGATGTTTTAAGGAAATTTGGTAAATGGGGGTAAACAGAGGATAAATTGTCAACTATCGAGTACATTGGCAGTTCTATACAGGTTTATTTTCACATCGTCAGGATAATATGGCAATTTAACTCTCTGGCCCTCAGGAATGAGTGATGATAACTCTTAATTATTAGTACCATTATTCATGACAATTTATTACTACAGCCTACAATACTTATATTTATTTTAATATTAAGACTAAATATATTCCCTAAATTAAGCTTTCTCAAACATCGATTACTGTTTACTTTATAGTTACGTTTACCCTGTTCTTGGTTTTAAAAATAAATTTTTGGAAAAATGGTTTTTTTTATTGTATGGTATCATTAAATTGAAAGACCATGGCATGTTTCTTTTATAGCGGTAGGTAGCGCTCAAGCTCCAAAATCGAATTAAGGTATTTATTTGCATTAAAATTATAGATAGAGATCAAAGATCAGCTTTGATCTAATTTGCAACTATTTTCATTTGATAATATTTAAATAAGGAGTCGTCCCAAATTTGTTCTAATTTTAGAATTGCCGGTTATGACTAAGATTACCTACTTGAAAAATTAATTTAAAAAATGTTATATAAATTATTATCTCTACACGAAATTTCGTGTTAGATCAGAGATTGCGGAAAAGCGGACATACATAAAACGAAAATTTTGAGCTAAATTCATCTAGCTCTTCAGTGTCAATTTAACAGCGGCAGAAAAATTTAGGATTAAGAATAGGAATAGAGATGATTTAATGAGGCGTTATAATATAACGACTTTTCCAGAATATTAGATTTCACTACACACATCTAATATTTACATGTTCAAATCGTGGAAAACATTTGCCAACGCATTCCAAAAATATCTCGATGCTCATCTCTGAGAAGTCAATTTAGTTTTAAATCAGTAGTGAGCATAGAACACACATTTTTCCCAATTTTATATTAAGGTGACTTAAAGGCATTTCGGTGAGTACGATTTCAGTTTTCTTGTAATATTGGAGCTCAATTAGTCTATTTTACTTTAAAATATTCAAGAATTTTCGTAAAATGTTATAAATATCTAATCATTTTCATTCCAAAGCGTTTTCCTTAGTTAATTAATTTGGAGCGGTCATCTCAGCTCAATTTTTGTTGGCATTGTCTATTTCACTTTCTATTTTTAGATAAAGTTGCTAATATCAAGTAATACTTGCACTGCTAGTGCGATTAGTTGTGAACATATTTATTCAATATGCTAGTTGATTTTTCCAACCAAAAAAATATCAAATAGTAAAAATAGAACTCCTCGCGCTTCAGTTGTAAAACAAGTGTTCATAACAGTACAGATTTTTGAAAGTCTGCTACTATTTGCAGGAAAGTTCAAGATGAGTGTACTCGGATTTACCGATATAATACAAGGGCCTTTGGCTCAATACGCTCACATCTCCCAGCAAATTGGTGGTGATGTGGCTCAGCACAGCCAGTTAGTTCAACAGGCTTTCAAAGCACAACTTCAATTTTTGCAGCTGGCAAGCCAAAGTAGCAAGCCAGCTAACCAAAACGATGTGATGATTTTCTTGAAGCCAACCAGCGATATAATTGGAGCGATTCAAGATTTTAGAGAAAAGCACAGAACGTCTCCTTTTTTCAATCATCTATCGGCTATCAGTGAGAGCATACCTGCTTTGGGATGGGTTGCAGTAGTAAGAAAAACTTATACTTGTCGCTATGCTTGATATATTTAACAAATGCATAATTTATACCGATCTGGTCAAAGGCTTGTTATTTAGAGCACATTATCTGGGACGCTTGCCAAATTCATTAAAATGATCCAATCTGAATTGGAAAATGTCCTTATAGTGCATAGTCCGATGTTAAACGTTGATTATTTTAAAATGCTCGTTAACTGCTACAAGAATTTTTATAGAGCCCTGCTCCCGCTCCATATGTAAAGGAAATGAATGATGCAGGACAATTCTATACAAATAGAGTTCTGAAGGACTGGAAGGAAAAAGACAAGCGTCATGTAGATTGGGTTAAGTCGTGGGTTCAGACTCTTAGCGAGTTGCAAGCTTTCGTTAAACAACATCATACCACAGGTGCCCAGAAGGATTGATTGGAAAACGTCCATTTGCAACGGTATCAATGTTTGCAGGCTTGGTATGGTCAGGAAAAAATGCCCCTGTTGGGGTGCCACCACCACCACCTTCTTGTCCTCTGCCGCCTCCTCCCCTAGACAATTTCGCCCCTGCTGCTCCTAACGCAAGTGACGATAGATCTGCTCTATTTGCGCAATTGAACCAAGGAGCCAACATTACAAGCAGTACGTATTGTGTTACTGGTGTAATGCATTGGAGGAAAACTACCCAATCTAATCATGGGTTTTAGATCTTAAAAAGGTCACATCAGATATGCAAACCCACAAGAATCCAGCATTGAAGCAAGCCGGGGTTGTGCCTTCCAGAGGCTCCGGAGGAAATGCCGCTTCGGCTGGCCAGCCCGATAAACCACCAGTATTTACCAGAGATGGCAAGAAGTGGGTGATTGTAAGTGGAGAAAATGCTCCAGCCACGACGGCTTTAAAACACGAAGTTTTATAGGAATACCAAACTAGAAACCATAACTTGATCGTTGAGAATGCCGAGATGAACAATGTTGTTTACCTTTACAAGTGCACAGAATGTACAGTCACTATCAGAGGAAAGATTAATTCTGTTGTAATTGATGCTTGCAAGAAGACCGCTATTGTGATGGATTCCATTGTAGCCGCTGTTGAATTCATCAATTGCCAATCCGTTCAAATGCAGGCAAGATGAATACTTGCGACCATCCTAAACATTTTCATCTACAACAACTTGTTTTTGCTTCAGATGTTTGGAAAAGTTCCTACCATTTCCATCGATAAAACCGACGGGTGTCAAGTTTATTTGAGCAATGATTCTTTGGACGTTGAAGTAGTTTCTTCGAAATCGTCCGAAATGAATATACTAATTCCTGCAGCTAATGGGGATTATGTAAGAAGCTGAGTGTGAATTTTGGTTTTCACTATCAACTAGGATTATCTATTTTTAGATTGAACAACCCATCCCTGAACAATACAAGACAACTATATTGCCTAATAAGGCATTAAAGACGGTTGTTGTGGAAAGCAAGGGTTAGATGCCTGGCAATATTTTACAGATTATGAAATTGTATCGTGACTCACTTTGTTTTATAAAAAATAAAAAATAAGGTTTATATTTCTATTTCGGTGTTTGAATGCAAAATCCTACTTTTTGTGGTCAACTTTAAAGGCAAAGGGAGTTTTCGTGAGTGAAAACCTACACGTAGGAACGATTGAATAAAAACCCTGACTTGGAAACTGTAACAGATGTTTATTGAATATTCTTTGTAGTGTACGTAATGTATCATTTTGGACGGACTACTGGTTCCAGCTTCACGTAGAAATATAGCAAATGTAACAAAATATAACAAACATATAAACTATAGAAATTACACTTTGTGAATATTTGCGCAACTATTGAGCAAAACTATCAGTTTCCTATGTCTAAACCACAAGCCTTGATGCAAATAGGACTTAATCCCGTATTAATTAGCTGAGGTAACAATCTGGTTATTGTCACAAGACATAATAAAAATATATTGCCTTCCGATTATAAACTATAAAGATAATAACAGCTTATAAGTGCAAATTTTTGTACTAAAACTACCTACTTCCCAGTACGAAGACGTTGATAAACGGCCTTAATCTTGAACTGTTTGAGCATTGATTAAGAAAATTCGTTCTCGGGCTAGGTAACGAGCAACTCTAATGCTTCTAAGCGCCTTACAAATATATTCGACGTACTTTCACCACTAAAGTTGCCTACAAATTACAAATTGCTTAAACTAGAGGATTCTAGTTGTTCATCTGGATTGATTCCATGTCGTGGATCATTTTTTCCCATCGCACTTTTATGCTAAAATTTCCTTATCTGAATATCACTCCTTTACACTCATCAGTTTATCAACACCGCCTTTCTTCCTGCTTAGGAGAGTTCTCCAATCGGGGCATTTTTTAACCATTGGTCATGAATGAAGTGGTAAAGTTTATCACTTACGGCAACCTACAATTGAATTAATGACTAAATAGTGAAGAAAGTTTTCAATTTTGGCAACGATGCTCAGCTGCAATTAAAATACCCTACATAAAGTTATGAAGTTTAACGGCAGTCACGCAAATTGAAGTTCTTTCAGTAATAAACTTTAGGAATAAATAAGAATTATGCGAAGTGATTGCCAGGACCCAGCTGGTACGGGCTTAAGATATCCGCAGTTTTGTATGGTCCTTACCTTGTATGGCGTAGGATTCAAATTCCTTTTGATATCCGATCTTAAAGTTTTCATAGAACTGGTAACTTTGCCTTTAATCTCCTCCAAGCTTGGCAAGGCCTTCACAATTTTACCATCGGCCCAGTAAAGTTGAAGCAGTTTTTCAACTTTAGACGGTTTCACGTAGGCCCTTTTGGATTCCTCGAATGCATGGCGGCATAAAATTTTCTCATTCACTTTTGGAGGAGGTTCCACTGATCTTTGCAGCAGATCAACCAAAGCGTCTCCGCTTTCACTGTAGAGTCTGTATGCATCTTTGCTTCCGGGCATGGTCACTTTGGCTACTTCTTGACTTAATTTTATTCTAGGATAGTGATTCAGTTCGACCATCTTGTAGACACATCCCAAGGCTGGTTGTCTTTGGCAAGTCACCAAATGGGTTCCAATTCCAAAGCAGTTTATTTTGTGGCCTTGCTCGTTTAAGCTGATTATCGTCTCTTCGTTGATATCATTCGAAGCCATTATCATCAAGTTTTCGAACCAAGGGATGTTGAATTTGCGTCCTATTTCCGTGAAATAATGACGAGAAACGTTGGAGAGATACGATAAATCTCCACTGTCCAATCTTATCCCTATGGCGCGGTAGCCAAGATCGTTTAGAGCTAAGGCCACGGCACAGTAGTTTAAAAGGCCACTTCTGCAAGAAATATTTTGATTAGATCCAGTCCAATTCCTGTGTCGTTTGCGAAAAATGTCACTTCATGCACAAATCACTTTTCATTCATTGGCAAGGTTTTCCGAGAATAACAAGAAATAAATAATACTTGCATTAAATAGTATAAAAATCAATTCCTGGGCTTCAGTCATTTATTGTCTATTTATCAATTAAAATACGTTTCGGTGTTTTCCACCATCATCAGTTTCTATGTGTAGCGTTGTTGCTACTTTAAGCCTATGCCAAGGCTTAAAGTATCAACAACGCTACACATAGAAACTGATGATTAGAGGGCGGAAAATATGCAAAGTGCATATCTATGCATTTTTTGCATATTTTATCCAATTTCATGAAAAATTGCATATATCTAAAAAATCTGTATATTTGTGCATGTTTGAAGATTTTTCTTTTCATCTTAATGAAATATTATCGAAATTCCATAGGCGCGTGTAAAGTAGGCACTAAATTTATAAGTTTACCTGCCTTTTATTGCATATCATTTATTCACTACCCTGGAATGTCTCGAGTTGAAAAGCCCTAAAAC